CAGTTCTTCGTTAAATCCAAAAATCGCAGACAGATTCAACCTGTTTCACGCCTCGGCTCTGATACCAAATGTTATTCCCATAATTCTAACAATCATACAACCATAAGCAGTAATAAAGAAGCAGATAGAAAGAAATCGACAAGATTGAACGCGAATCTGATATACCGTATGAATCTGCCGCTACTCTCCCTGGAGAAGGAGAGCAGCGGCAACCTAATTTCTCTCTATCTCTACGCCTCTGCGTCTCTAAGCCTCTCACGATTAGTAGGGTTCCCGTAAGTTAGCCTCCTTTTATAGGAGAAGTTGGCTAACTTACGGGTTACAAGGAAGCCCACGGGCTGATACACATTTGTGGCCCGTATTACACGTTTAATTAATAACTACACAAATACAAAGATAACTAACTAGATTGAACACCATAAAATATTCCCAACATTAGGTAATCTCATGCTTAACCTACAAGTTGTAAGCAACTAGATGTCGATCCTCACCTCAAATGATCTTTAAATTGTTCCTTCTCAACCCAATGCTCAAGCTTCGGCAAAGGGGGTTTGAGAATTTATTCCTTGCTTATAAATAGGTGTTAAACAGCCTCCTCAAGGTGCTTGCTCAACTCCTAACCGAACACACGAAAACAGCCCTTAGAACGGGTGTTTTCCGGCGAATTCGTTCCCTAACCTTTCAAGGGTTTGTTTAGGTTAGTATCTAACCTTTCCAACGAATAAAATGACTTCATAACAACATTTTATACACCTCAACCAGTGTACAATAGTTCTTCAATCATTTATATGATTTAGACAATAGAAAGGAAGGTTTTGGATTCGAACTTACTTTGAATACCAAAAACGTATTCTGCGAGGTTGCGTTCTGTTCGGATGATTTGGAGGCCTTAAACTGCTCCTTTTTCTTCAAACCGAACGTATAAGTATTCCTCTTTTCGAGATATTTCAGTGGACACCTCCCACGCCTCTCTTGGGTGAGTAGAACGCGAGATATGAGTCGCACAAGAAGGCTAACGCACTGGAAATCCCCCCTGCAGCCAGCTCTCCAATTTCCTCTCTTCTTGGGTTGTGCGGCTCCCCTCTCTCTCTTATCTCTTTTAGTTCGAATGGGGTGAGGGAGAGGTGCTTAGAAGCTCTCAATGTGATCTGAACGAGTGGATCTAAAAAAAAGGAAGGGTAGGGTATTTGATCCCAATCAAACATGGGATGGTCCTTCTCTTTTATTTCTCTTTTGTATTGTTTGAGCTCTTAACTCAATAGGTCCGCCCCATTTATGAATTCTAACTTATTATACTTGTTTTGCAGGTTCTAGGAAGGTGTGGGGCGTACTCTCATGTCCCCTAATTAATTTGGGAGCAAAATATCTACCAATACATCCAAAAGTGGAAAAATGGGTCCTATCATTTTTATCTTTTGTCCTAAGATGTACTTTTGTACTCTCCCCAATTTATTCAGATCAAGTCAACCTCCTACATCATATTATTGGTCTCTAATATGTGTAGGGTGGTCCCAATAATTTATTTGATGTACAATTACAAAAGAAAACCCTACTCCCATTATTTAGCCTAATAATGCCAAAGATGGGACCATAGGCATTTGTATTCTTCTCAAATCATTCTGTCATTCATTTATGATGTTAATATATATATATATATATATATATATATATATATATATATATATATATATATCTGGGCTACCAACCGTGTGGGTCACCCTCCAATGGGTCTAGGATGTCATTCTTGAATAATTACTATTTTTAGCAGGTTAGGCCCAAAATAACATTTGGGCTGCCCGGCCGCTCTTACATTGTACCGATGGGTTGTATATCTTTATTTAAGGATGTTGGGCCCCGATATCAATGATATGGCCCAATTAATTATTTAGAAGCCCGTTACCATTGTATGAGTCCAAATAGTAAAATGATTAATCATACGTTCCGTAAAACTTTAATTGTTTTACAATTTTTCAAAAATAGGGAAATTCAATACATAAGCTTTGAAATTAAATTTGAATTTCCAAAACGTTCGGGTGTGGTGTCACAAGTTCACCCCCCCCCCCCTTAACAGGAATTTCGTCCCTGAAATTCACGGTGCTACTCAATTAGGAAGGCGTATTGCTCCCTCATCAAATCTTCCGTTTCCCAAGTCTCCTCTTCAACACGGTCACTCTTCCGAAGGACTTTAACCATTGGAACTTCTTTGCTCCTCAATTTCTTTACCCTTCTATCGGTGATCTTGACCGGTTGTACGGCGTAGTTCAAATCCCCGCGCATTTCCACCGGCGGCTTTTCCAATACATGAGAAGGATCATGTACATACTTCTTCAGCATAGATACATGAAACACATTGTGTATCTTCTCCAACTCTGAAGTCAACTGTAGACGATATGCTACGGCCTCAATTCTCTCCAGAATTCTGAATGGCCCGATGTAGCGCGGATTAAGCTTCCCTCGGCTTTGGAATCGAATGATCCCTTTCCAAGGAGAAACCTTCAGGAATACCTCATCATTAACCTTAAACTCTAAGGTTCTCCGTCGCTTATCTGCATAACTCTTTTGTCTATCCTGAGCTGCTTTGAGTCTCTCTCGAATCAACTTCACCTTTGACTTGGTGATTTCAACCAATTCAGTACTCTCGAGTTTGGCCACGCCAACCTCGTCCCAGCATAACGGTGTACGACACCTCCTACCATACAATGCTTCGTATGGAGGCATGATGATACTCGCCTGATAACTGTTGTTATAGGCAAACTCCACAAGTTCTAAAGGATTATCCCAACTCCCTTGGAACTCCAATGCACAAGCCCTCAACATATCCTCTAAGATCTGAATAACCCTTTCAGACTGCCCATCCGTCTGTGGATGGAATGCGGTACTGAACTTCAACCTCGTTCACATAGACTCTTTAAATTTTGGCCAAAAACGTGACGTGAATTGTGCGTCTCTATCGGATACGATGGTCACCGGAACACCATGTAACCTCACGATCTCGTCCGTATACAATTTGGCTAACCTCTCGAGTGGGTAAGTGGTGTTGATAGGTAAAAAGTGTGCACTCTTCGTGAGCCTATCAACAACAACCCAAACTGCATCATAGTTCCTGATCGTCCGTGGTAAGCCTATCACGAAATCCATAGTCACATGTTCCCACTTCCATTCAGGGATCGAAAGTGGCTGAAATAAGCCCGCTAGATGCTGATGTTCCGCCTTAACTTGCTGACAAGTAAGGCATCGACTGATGTATTCTGCTATTTCCCTCTTCATACCAGACCACCAGTAGCTTTCTTTCAGATCCCTGTACCTCTTCGTGCCTCCCGGGTGCATAGCATACGCCGAGGAATGAGCCTCCTCTAGAATGGACTTTCGGAGCTCATCATTCAACGGTACGCACACTCGATCATAGAATAACAAGAGACCATAGTCTCTTTCACGAAAATCCTCTACCGGCCCCGCTAGCATGCGTTCTCGGACCTTCTTGAGCTCATCATCAAGCTCCTGACCCCTCTTGATCTCATCAAGTAAGGTAGGTCTCACCTCATATCATGCCACCAAGGCGCCATTAGTTGATACTTCCAATTGGGCTCTCAGATATACTAGTAATCCCGGTGATGAACACTGGAAGGCAATAGTAAGGGTTTTGAGGTATTTACGTAAAACCCAAAACCTTGGACTATATTATGGAAGATATCCAGCTGTACTTGAAGGGTATAGCGACGCTAGTTGGATATCCGACATTAAGGACTCTTAGTCCACAAGTGGATATGTTTTCACTTTGGGAGGTGCAGCCGTGTCATGGAAATCCTCGAAACAAACGATAATAGCTAGATCCACGATGGAGTCTGAGGTAATAGCCTTGGATAAGTGCACTGAAGAGGCTGACTGGCTACACCATTTTCTCGAGGATATTCCTGTAAGTTCAACTTCCAGCTCAGGTCTCGTCCAAGTTTCACCCACAAAGGATGAAGAACACCACTAAAATCACTAACGGGAAAGGAGCGTCAGCCAGCAGGCTAATTTCCGGCCAATTCAAAGGGATGCATCACAGAGGAGCAAGGGACAGAATATGTGTGTGGAAATAGGGTTTTCTGTTTGGCCTCGCCAACGGCAGAGAAGAACAAGCAATATATAGGTAAAGCTCCCGGGAATCAGAATGTTACGCTTCCTTACCAAGAAGATACGCAATTAACTGAGCAAAGAGGCGGAGGAAGGAAATCATCCAGGCTGAAGTGCGAACAGGTAGAAGAGAAAGAGTTGGGCCGGGTGCATCCACAAAAGAATTAGGCTTATAAGAAAAGAGTTGGGCCAATACCTTACACAATCTCCACCTTATTGGACCATAGTGGTTTAGAGTCAAAGCTCTAACACAAATTTGAGACTCATCATCGCTGGATTACCCGAATGATCACAAAGACACGTTCAGGCAAAAGGGTAAGATCACCAAGCAACTTATCCGCAATCAATGTTTAACGAATGCTTGCACGACAACAACTTTTCGACAGAAAGACATTTAGTTCCCATGTCAGCGGGATTAAATTCCGATGGAATTTTAATCAACTTGATATCACCTGCACTAACAATATCACGTATAAAATGAAATATAACATCAATATGCTTAGTTCTATCATGGAAAACATGATTTTTGCACAGTTGAATAGCAGATTGACTATCAGAAAACACACAAATGTCCTGATTAAGACTAGCAAACTCCGTTAGGAGACGTTTAAGTCAAATGGCTTCCTTAAACGCTTCGATAGCGGCCACATACTCGGACTCAGTAGTGGAAAGGGCAACTATGGGTTGAAGTTGAGACTTCCAACTAATGCATGACCCGCAAAGAGTAAACACATAAGAGGTAGTGGATTTTCTATTATCTCTATCGTTAGCAAAATTCGAATCCACATACCCACTCAACTTAACACCCTCAGAACACCTAGTAAAAATAAACCCATGATTAACAGTAATTTTCAAATACCTAAGCAACCACTTAAGAGCATTCCAATGAGGTAAAACAGGATTAGACCTACTTTCTAAACCTACTGGCGCTTCTTCTTCCGTCGTCCTGAAGCCTGGGCGGCAGTAATGTCGCCGGCGGAAGGATCCGACCGGGCGAACCCGCAGACAAAGCTCTCCTATGCAGCAGCGGTAAGGTATCCAATCCCCGGCCAATGATTGCACAACCAAAAATGCTCCTTTTCCGACACGACACACCTGGGTTCGACTGGAACTTACAGCGGAATCCCGTCGGTCGTCTTCTCTGAAGACGATTTACAGGGTTTCTCTCACCCTTTCACTTATGCGCTGGTAGGTACGTTCCCCTCCGGAAGGCCCCCCATCCCTAAGCTTCGTAAAGCTTTCGAAGGTTTAATCTTTTCGGAACCCTATTCAGTCAGATTGCTTCAATCGAACGTTATTCTAGTAAATTTTAAATCTGATCTTGATTTCCAAAGTTTTTGGGAAAAAAATATTGGGATTTCTTTGATTATCAGCTTGTTGTTACTAGATGGACGCTTTGTTTCTCTCTAGAACGGGACTCCCCCTAGCCCTAGTCTGGATCTCCCTTGAGGGTCTCCCCATCCATCTACACGATTTAAGGGCCCTATATTCTATCGCTAAGGTGGTGGGGAAACCCATCCGCATAGACGCTCCTACTGCAAATTTTTCCAGACCTTCTACAGCTAGGGTATGTATTGAAATGAATGCCTCTGTTGAACTGCCACCTAAACTTTGGATTGGAAATGGTGCATCAGGTTTCTTTCAGAATATTGTGTATGAAAATTTGCCTCTTTTTTGTCTTAGTTGCTCTCGGTTTGGTCACACGAATAAGGCATGCCCCCGGGCTCCCAGTGCCCCTGAAAATGATGCTGATGCCCCAACCAATGATGTGACTACCCCTTAGGCTGCCTCTGTTTCAGCTGTAGGTGGACAAAAAGCCCCTGCAGTTGAGACTAATGGTATCCCCTGTGTTCTTGTTAATGATGTTATTGATGATTATGTTCTCCCGTGTGCCCATGATAAAACTGACTGTGTCCCTGTTAATGATGTTATTCCTGTTGTTGCTTCTGTTATTGATGCTCTCGATGTCCCTATGGTACCTAATAAATGTTGTTATTGATGAAAATGTTGTTGATGCCCCTGATTGTGCTGTAATGGCACCCCAGGATGTTGTTGGGTCCGCTCTTCATGCCCCTGTTAATGTTGTTGTTGGGTCTGCTTTTAATGCCCTGGCTGCTGAGGGCATTATTGTTGATAATATTACTGTCCAACTCCCTTTGTCTGCTGATTTTGATACTTGGTTGCAGCAGATATTCCTGAGGCCCCTATTGATGTTACTAAAGCACCTTTTAATGCATCTTTAGAGATGCATATAGTCTGCCGTGGAATTTTTCCCCAAGCCCCTACTGATTCTTTCCCTTCTGTCCACACGGAGGCCTTCTTTGATGCTACAAGTAATGCTGAGGTTTTCCAACATCCGGTGGCTCTCGATGAAACCCCGGTGGCCACCCTTAACGTGGCGGTAAACGAGGTCATTCATCAACCAGACACCCATGATGCTGGCATAACCTTGTTTGAGTCCCGAAATGGAAATGATGAGATCCTCTTTGATCCAACGCTTGATTGTGCAGATACTACACATGTCCCAATCCTGTCCAGTGATGAAACTTTCTCTGAGGATTCCCAAATGAAAATTTCTTCTGTTTCAGGTCACGAAGATAATCATACAATCGATGAGGGAAATCTTGAAGGCTTTACACAGGTCCAAAGAAGAAGAAGCAAAACTATTTCAATGAACCCACCAAACGAAGTCACTAAAGACGAACAACTATACTATGAGGTGGGATACTCATCTCATCCCATGATCACCAGAAGCCAATAAAAAAGACCCCAAAATGAATCAGACTACTTTCTCTACCCTGTTGATGACAGGTTCGACTCACCGCAAAAACTAGCAACAGCTCTCCAGCGCTTCAGGTTATCTCGTCCGGATGAAACAACATTCAGGCCTTACCTTAAGAGGGCCATCAGGTTCCAAAACAAATATAACAGAGCGCTCTCGGCTTCAATTGGGATCCCTCAAAATAATTTCAATTGTTGATGTACCCATTTGTATTTGTTCTTCTTGCTTCACCTTTTGGATTCTCAAACCTTTGTACCCAAAAATTTATTTTAATAAATTAGGGAGGTGTTCCCCGACACCCCCACCTAGTGTGGTCTTAACCGGGATAAAAAAAACAGGATTAGACATATACCTACTCAAACAACTAACAACATAGGCAATGTCGGGTCTAGTACTCACCATGAGATATATCACGGACCCAATAGCATTAGAATAAGGCACAGATTTCATTTTAGCAATTTCAGGAGCAGTCTTGGGAGACCGATCCTTACTTAACACAAAGTGGGACGCCATAGGAATAGAGACGGTAGTAGCAGAATGCATGTTATATTTACTCAAAATCTTTTCAATGTATGAAATCTGATTGAGTACTAGCACACGCTTACTCCTATCCCTAACAATGTTAATGCCTAGGATCCTCTTGGCATCACCTAGGTCTTTCGTTGCAAAATTCTCGCTAAGACGTTTTTGCACACATTTAATGGCGTCACGCGAGGACTAACAATCAACATGTCATCCACACAAAGTAATAAAAATACAGGCACAGAAGAAGTATTTTTAAAGTATAGGCAATGGTCACACTCGGACTTGTGAAATTTCAAAGATTACATGCACTGGTCAAATTTGATATTCCACTGCCTCAGGGACTGCTTCAGGCCGTACAAGGCCTTCCTAAGCAAACACACATGATTACTCTTCATGGAATCCACAAAGCCCTCAGGCAGGGTCATATAGATTTTCTTATCTAAATCACCATGCAAGAAAGCAGTGGTGACGTCCATTTGCTTCATTTCCCAATCATTATTAGCAACAAGAGCAAGCATCATTCTAATCGTAGTGAATTTAACAAGAGGAGCAAAGATTTCAGCATAATCAACACCTTCCTTTTGAGTAAACCCTTTAGCTACTAACATAGCCTTATATCTAATGTCGTTAGGATCTTCCTTAACCTTAAATAGCCACTTACACTCAACTACGGAACTATTGGGCGGTCTAGGAACTAACGTTCAAGTCTTATTCGCTCTAAGTGACTCCATCTCACTTTCCATGGCGCAAAGCCATTTAGCGAACTCATTAGACTTAAGGGCCTCTCTATAGGTTCTAGGTTCGTTAAGCTCAAGGGTCTCAAACACAGAAAAACAAACATAGAAGTATCACACACATGGAAAGCAAAATCAGGCATACTATCTGCAGTTCTCCTAATTTCTCTCCTACTTCTATCTCTGACAAGTTGGTAATCATGCAAATCATTTTCACTAGAATCAGCACTCTCATCATGCGATTCATTGTTATTTGAATGCACATGAGAATGCTCCACCTCACTCGAAGTGGTGGTATTATCATGCTCAGAAGAATCATGCAATTCAGAAGAATCATGCAAGTCAGAAGAATCATGCAAATCAGAAGAATCATGATTAGAAAACAAAGGACTAGCAGCATATGGTATGGACTCCACCTCAACAGGTGTACTACTAGGGCTCGACTCGGAATCAGGAACTGACTTAACCAGACAAGGGAACTCGGATTCATTGTAAACAACGTTTCGACTTACCACAACCTTGAAACCTACCTGGTTTCTATCCCAAACCTTGTACCCCTTCACACCCCCGGGATAAGCTAAGAAGACTCCTTTCTTAGACCTAGGATCCAATTTGTCACCTTGTTGGTGCACATACGCAGCACACCCAAACACTCCAAGATTAGACAAATCAAGGGGCTTGTTTGAGAAAACAGATTCAGGGCATTTCCCACCTAAGGGAACAGAGGGAGACCGATTAATCAAGTAGACAACAGTATTGACTGCTTCACCCCAAAACTTTTTAGACACACCGGAGGTAGCAAGCATACTCCTAACCTTATCTAGAAGAGTCCTATTCATTCTCTCGGGTATCTCATTTTGTTGGGGAGTATATGGCACAATTTTGTGCCTTCTAATCCCACAATCCACACAGAGTTGGTCCATATCCTTATTGTAAAACTCTAATCCATTATCGGTCCTAAGGGTTTTGACCTTCTTACCAGTTCGATTTTTTACAAGGTTCTTCCACTCCCTAAACTTCACAAAGACATCGGACTTATGCTCAAGGAGACGGACCCACACCTTCCTAGAAAACTCACCGATAATGGACAAAAAATATCTCTTACCCCCGTGGGTAGAGACACTAGCAGAACCCGAAACATCAGCATGAACATACTCTCACACAGAGGTACACTTAGTGGTATTAGGAAAAGGGGAAGAGGGGAATGTAACCCTATGCTGCTTGCCTAACACACAAGATTCACAGAAAGGGATGGAGGACACAGAATCCTTAACAAAACAACCAGATTTATGCAAAATCTCTAAACCCTTATTACTCATGTGTCCTAATCTATTATGCCACAAAGTAGTTTTATCAGAACTAACAACATGAGCAGAATCACACAAAGGCTGAGCATGGCACACATACAAATTATTCACCTTTTTTTTTTCTGAAACAAAACAAGGGAATTTTTCAAAACTTTCATGCACCCATTTCCCCATTTACCCTCAAGCCCACTACCCTCAAAAGCAGCGACAGAAAACAAGTTATGACGCAAATCAGGAACATGTCTCACATTTTTCATAGTAAACAAAGTCCCATTATCAAACTTCAATCATACATCACCCACCCCATGTATTTTTCATTTCTTATTATCAGCAAGAGACACAAAACCATCATTGCAAGAATCATAAGAAGCAAACAGAGATCTAAAAGGTGTCATATGATAAGTACAACCAGAGTCAATCAACCACTCATTTTCAGTCATGCTACTCAACACAGAATTGGCAAAATCACAGACCATAAAAACTTCATCATGCAAGTTATTATCATCTACCACATTAGCATGTTCAGACTTCTTAGGGTGAGGACAATCCTTAATAAAGTGGCTAGAATTCCCGCAATTATAGCACACTCTCTTCTTAGACTTACCTCTCTTATTACCCGGGTCATTATTATTGGTTTGGTTCTTAGTGTTGCTACCCTTCTTATGGTTTTTAGATCTACTCTTAGACCTACCCCTCACAAGCAACGCTTCAACAGAGTCCCTAGATTGACTGTTACTACCCCTTGAGTGTCTAAGGTCTAACTCCTTACTTCTTAATCCATCAACGACTATATCTAATTGGATATCATCTCTACCATACTTTATGGCAGATTTGACGTCATTGTAAGAGTTAGGGATGACATTAAGTAACACTATGGGTGCGTAGTCATCTATGTGTTTATCACCGACTTGCTTAATGTTCTGAATAAGCTTGTTAAACACATCTAGGTTCTCATCTATGTCTTTAGTCAGGTCAAGCCTAAATCTAAAGAACTTCTCAAGCAAAAAAAATTTATCAGGCAAAGAAGTATCAGTATACAACTTATCTAACTTGTCCCATAACTCCTTGCAGAATCTATAATACCCACCTTCCTGAGAACTGAATCAGAAAGGTTTAGGTATATAGAGGAACAAGCAGTTTCATTCATTTCAACGCGCTTTGCAGCATCCTCAGAGTCTAAATAGAGACCAATCACAGCTCTATAAACTTTCTGTGGGATCAACACACATTAGATTTTTTGTTTCCAGATATCAAAATTTGTCTTTCCATTAAATGGAAGCATGCCATATTGATTGACCAATGAACACATAGCTCGGGTACAGTCTCCTTGTTCTTTCGTACAAGCACAGATAAATTACTATTTACTCAACAGATAGATAAGCGATTAATTATAACCTATAGGGCTATGAATTGTACGAAGAAACTAGCACGAACAAGCCGAGAAGACCAATGAGCACAAAACTCGGGTACAATCTCCTTGTTCTTTCGTACAAGCACAAATAGGCTAGAATTAAATCAACAAGCAATGAAACGAGATTTAAAACTAATCCAGACAAAAATATTCCTAACTTCGGACAACAAGTATCCAAACAAATATTCTTAACCGGAAAGTTTATCCATGAATCAATCAACAGAAAAAAAAAATCAAAAGCAAAAAATCCAACACGTGATTAAATTTAATCCGGAAGAAATATTCACAACTTTGGACAACGAGTATCCAAACAAAATATTCTTCACCAGAAAATTAATTCACGATTCAACAACAAGTAATCGCAATTCAACATGAAATTAAATTGAATGAACTACGAATAAATAATCACACAAAGGATTAGTAAACATACCTGGGGCCGGGCACAACCGGCATCCAAGACCACGCAGGTCAGCAGCGGGGAGCAGGGGAAAAAATAAATCCGGTGGCACTCCGGTACACCAAGGATGTTTATCGCCAATTTACCTGAGCGGGGCCCGAGGTTGGGTTACCCGACTTACCGTAGGCAGTGTGGGCTGCTCTAGACACAGTGGCAGTGGACTTGACTGGCGGCAGTGGACTAGACAGCAGCTTGTGCTCTGGCAGAACACTGGACCGAGTCTTCTGGGCGCTGGAAGAACGCTGGACGACGAAGCTGGCTACTGCAGAACCTCTGGCAACGGCAGACGGCGGCGGCGAACAGCGGCAGACGACTCCTGACTCTGATACCACTGTAAGTTCAACTTCCAGCTCAGGTCTCGTCCAAGTTTCACCTACAAAGAATGAAGAACACCACTAAAGTCACTAAGGGGAAAGGGACGTCAGCCAGCACGCTAATTTCCGGCCAATTCAAAGGGATGCATCACAGAGGAGCAAGGGACATAATATGTGTGTGGAAATAGGGTTTTCTGTTCGGCCTCGCCAGCGGCAGAGAAGAACGAGCAATATATAGGTAAAGCTCCCGGGAATCAGAATGGTAAGTTTCCTTACCAAGAAGATACGCAATTAACCGAGCAAAGAGGCGGAGGAAGGAAATCATCCAGGCTGAAGTGCGAACAGGTAGAAGAGAAAGAGTTGGGCCGGGTGCACCCACAAAAGAATTGGGCTTATAAGAAAAGAGCTGGGCCAATACCTTACAATTCCAAGTTGGGAAAAGTCTGTCCCTTCAATATGCATACATTGCAATTGTCAAGCGGCAATCGGAAGGGTACAGAGCAACATGTACAATGGTAAGTCTAGACATGTTCGTCGTAGACATAACACCATTAAACAACTCCTCACAACGGATGTTATCACTGTTGACTACGTGAAGTCAAAGGATAACATAGCGGATCCGCTAACCAATGCATTGGATAGAGATTTGTTGGAGAAGTTGTCACGAGGAATGGGACTAAAGCCCATGAATTGAAAAGTTCTTTAGTGGATACCCAACCTAGTTGGTCCTAGGTTCAAAAGGGACAACTAAATTATAGAGCGAAGGATGTTCACTCTGGGGGTCCCGAACTCCTACCCACTCCTCGTTGAAACAGTGACTCCCGCACGAGGTTAGCAAAAACGTTTGCTTTAATGATTCTGAAATGTTGATCTACTCTATAACATTGGAAGAGTATGCGGGATACTCGTGAAAGAATCACCTATGTGAGAGCGAAGAGGGCCGCTTCAAAGGAGAACTGTATAGGCTCAGTTCTTTAAAAACTCTTGCAGAACCAGGACGGTGACGCATGGCCAAAATGGGCACACTCATGATCTGAGAACGGAACAAAGTTGGAAGGTACTTGTGTAAAGACAAGTCAATGTTTACACGACGGCAGTATAGTTCAAAGACATCGAGTCTACTAGACAGTCAGTAAGTAAACATGTCTTTACAGCGAAAGGTTCAAAGAATAAAACCTACCTCTCTGTATGCAGGGATCATCCGGTGAACACAACGTGTCCTCCTATCTTCGTGTCTTTTTTAAGTTTCGAAAATCAATTTTCATTCATGTGTGGGATTGTTGGAAAATGTGTTAATGAATATAATTGCATTAAATGGTCATTTTGGGGAAATTTTTTGAGTGGGGTCCACTTCCGATTTATGTGGGGTCAAAGTGGTTTCGGATTCTCCTTGCTAAGGGCTACAATTCGATATGCGGTACACTCAAAACGGATAACGGGTAAATGAGAAATTGATTATCGAAGTTCACTCGTTGAAATGGAGAAAACTAGAAAAATGATGGGTTTCTAGTGTGTTTTATCCCACACCGGAAAACCCAAGAGATTTTCACCCCCTTTTAAAGGGAACCCCATTTGAAGGAGTTAAGATTTTTAGGTGGAAAGACTCTCTTCGTGCGCAGGGGGTGCCGATCAAATCCCGAAAACGGAGAATAAAAACCGCGACTCGTGTGCGCGGGCGACCTGCGGACATGAATGATGTCCTAAAATTTATCTTCTAAAGATAAGATTAAATGCCCAATAAATCTATTTGCCGTTACAATCCAATAAATGTCCAACGTTCATGCAATTAAATGGACAGTTACAGACGAATCAATGCCAACGTGCTGGACATTGATGTCCAACGATCATGTCCATTAAAAACGTCATTAACGCACAACAAATCTTCTCTATATAAAGGCCGGCAGGTGGTTTGCAACAATACAACGCACAATACATTCTTCACGTATTTCTTTAGCTAAAAACACATCCAGCTCTCTCTGAAAAATTCCTACGTGTTCATACTTGTTCTCGTTAGCCAGAACAATTCGTTTGAGTGCTCAAACAATTGTTCGTAGCTAGTCATCGTATCCTGGGAAACAATCGTTGTAACGCTCCTAGCACCTCGGCAGGCAATACATACGTTTTAAGGAAATCTTGCGTAGCATGAGCTTTGGCTAAATTCTGGTTCATCTATTTTCTGCTTTTCTTTAGTCATTTTAATTAATTAATTAATTTTTATTAATTATTTCTTTGTTTTTCAAAACACACCCAACAAGATTAACTCTTTTTAGTTCTGTTTTTGTCCAATAAAACATAGCAGTCTTATTTTTGCAATTCTACTTTCTTCTCTTCATATCTAGGGAATTTTCTCTTAATTAATAGGTCTGGTTTTCCCCTCCAAAAGGGTATATGGATGGGAGGATGTACTAACATATAGCTCCCGTGTTCCCATTGGAAAGGTATCCTCAAAAGTACATGCAGGCATGGAGAAGCGAACCAAATAAAGCACTAATATAAACCTACATCTCAGTTGCCTTTAAATTATTCGGATTCTTGAAGTCTCAAACATGCATTAGAGGAACGTATTTTATTTATTCACATACGACCCTTGTATGTATTTATATAAGCAGTAAGCCTATACGATACGACCCTTTATTCATTAATCCAGGATTGACTTCAAGCTAACTTGCTAAACAGTGATTAACGATGACGATTAAACGCCAGGCATGCAATATTCTTGTTTGTCTTATGGTCGTGGTTATTGACATCACTGCTGGAACACTCGCCATTGAAGCTGAGGTAGCTCAGAGTAAGGTAATAATTCATGACTCTCAAGTTTTTATTTCATAAGTATGAGTTATTCCTGTCAAATTTGGAAAAAATTGTCACGTTTAAAGCTTGATAATATAAAACTTGGCAGAAATTATCAAATCACTAGTATTTAGGGAATAAACACTTTTCAAAATGTTTTTACTCCTATTTAGATAATTTTTCCTAATAATTTAATAGGAAGTATATAATGCATGCATGCATATATGATACGGAGGACGTTACACTTCTGGAAAATTGATTAATCAGATACTCCGTAACAAAGCAATAAAGTTTAGTTAGTAGTATTCTTTTCCTCCCTTAAAAATTGGTTTACTACTCCATATAACTTAATTATATCTAGAATAATAAAATAAAAATTGTAGTGTTCAAGTTTGTGCACAAGACAGAGATATACTCCGTAATTTTAATCACATACGGAGTATTTCGTACTTAAATCGAATTGGCAACTTTTTTAACACAGCTAAATAAGTAAATTTAGCAAGTTTTATGAGATGGAGAGAGTATTAATTAATTAGAAGGTTGTATGAATTATTATATATATGAAGTATGAACCAACTATTGCTATGCAATAATTAAGACTTTGTGTTCCATATATATATATATATATAATAACCCAGAAAAGTCACCTTGGGGGGGCGAAAATATTTTTTGGGGGTTCAAAATATTTTTCGGGAGGGAGAAAATTATTTTTCATATTTATATACACTAAAACAAATTCTTGTTGGGGGCGGTAACCCCCCTGGATCTGTACTACAGTCCGCCCCTGTATTATATATATATATATATATATATATATATAGACACACACTAGTATATACATACATATATACTTGATTTGTTGGTTTGTAATTTTATACGGCGGTATGGAAAATGGCTTAATTAACACTATGTAAGTGCAGGTAAGCCAGTTAAAGGTGTGGATATTTGAATGTAGATATCCTAGCTATGAAGCTTTTAAGCTCGGCTTGGCTGCAACCGCACTACTTGTTCTCGCACACGCCATCTCAAACTTGCTTGGCGGCTGCGGCTTTTGCATCCGTTCAAAGGAAGAACTCCACAAATCCTCTTCTAACAAGCAGCTTGCCTTTGCTTCTCTTGTCATTCAATGGTACGACATTTGCTTTTTCATTTGAGAAAATTCCCTAAATAACATTAAAATAAAGATGAAGTTCATAAATATGATAAATAAACTATCATTATGTTATTTTCAAAATAGGAATCACCCACTATTGTTACGTTTTGGAAGTTTTAATTGTTGGTGCAAGCTATATAATAGTTTTTGACATGAATGCTTAAACTCTCATACTTTTACTGAAACAAGCCTTTTATAGGCATTACAAAGTAAACAAGGTGGTGCACATAAACCTCAACTTATTCCTAAGTTTAAGGCATGTTTACACGTTCAAATTAAAGCGATAACAATGACTCCGACAATTCCTAAAAATCAGCTAACTATAATAGACTTATTCAATCAACCAAATTAACAAATAAATAAATAGCTAAATGAATCAATTCCACGTGTGCATGACTTTATGCAATCTTGATCACATTAGTCAACACCTCCCCTTGATCCAAGTTTGCATATTCCAATTCTTTTCATGAAATGATAATGCTTAGCATGACTCAGTGCCTTGGTAAACAAATCTGCGTTTTGCCAGTCTGTTCCACAAAACTGCAGTGATATTTTCTTCTCAGCTACAAGCTCCCTTATGAAGTGGTGTTGAACATTAATGTGTTTGGTCCTCGAGTGAAATGCATGGTTCTTTTCCATGGCTATTGCTGACATATTGTCACACCAAATCTCAGGTTCTTCTTCTTGATTGCAGCATAAGTCTTTCAGCAACTTCTTTAGCCATAAAGTCTACTTTGTTGCAGTCCCTGCAGCCACATACTCAGCTTCAGAGGTTGATAGAGCCACAGTTTCTTGCTTCTTTTAACTCCACGTAATAGCACCTGTACCAAGATCAAAAACTGATCCAGATGTGCTTTTCCTATCATCCACACATCCAGCCCAGTCACTATCAGTGTATCCCCTCAGCTTGAAGTCTTTTACACTTGAATACATGATACCACACATCCTTTTTGCTGCTCCCAGGTGTTGTTTGGTAGGAGAGTGCATATACCTAGACACTATGCTCACACTGAGAGAAATATCAGGCCTAGAATGAGTGAGATAATTCAATCCTCCTACCATGCTTCTATATAGTCTTTCATCTGCCTTTTCAGTCCCATCAATTTTATGTAGTTTTTCACTAGTATTCATTGGAGTTTTAGCAGCCACACACTTCTCCATATGAAATCTCTTGAGTAGATCACTGACATACTTCTCCTGACTCAAGAAAATGCCCTGACTATCCTGTTTAATCTCAAGTCCAAGAAAGTAATGCAGCATCCCCAAGTCAGTCATCTCAAACTCTTAGGTCATTGCTTTCTTGAACTCATCTAACATACTCTGTGAAGAGCTAAGATATACTATATTATCAACATACAGACATACTATAATGAAGTCAGTAATGCCTTGCTTCTTCACATACAGAGTAGGTTCATTTTCACTCCTTACAAATTAAACTCCTTCTTGATGAAAAAGGAGTCTATTTTGTTGTACCAAGCCCTGAGTGCTTACTTGAGCCCATACAATGCTTTATGCAGTTTGTAGACTTTGTTTTCAGCCCCTTCTTTCACAAACCCTTGTGGTTGTTCAACAAAAACCTCCTCACTCATCTCACCATTAAGAAAAACTGATTTCACATCTAGTTGATATACTGGTAATCTCCATTGAGCTGCTAGTGCAAGAACAACTCTGACTGTCTCAAATCTTGCCACAGGTGAGAATGTTTCTTCATAATCAATGCCCTCCTTTTGTGCATACCCTTTTGCCACTAGCCTGGCCTTATGCTTAGATATGCTTCCATCTGGGTTATACTTGGTTTTGTATACCCATTTCAGACCTATTACACTCCTATCACTAGGCAGTGTAACAAGTTCCCAAGTACCATTCCTTTCAATGGATTTAATCTCTTCTTGCATAGTCTGCTTCCATTTTGCTTGAGTTACAGCCTACTCAAAGGCTGCATGTTCACCAGCTAGTAGAGTAAAATCACACGATTCATAAATGTCAATTAAGGATCTTACCTTGGGTGGAGGTGAGTTACTCTCAGATTCTGATGATGATTGACTACTAGAGGAGCTAGTAGAGGGAGTAGATGGAGGTGTTGGAGGTGGTTACTCATCCCTAGTCTCAGCATGGTCATCAAAAGGCACTGTAGTTTTTACATGGTCAGCTTTGTCCTCCAATTTGGTCCTCTGATTCACTAGGGTATAAGCAATACACCCAAAAATTCTCAAGTGTCCAAGTGAAGGCCTTTTCATCCTCCATACCTCAAAGGGAGTTGAGTCCCGTACTGCTCTTGTAGGTGATATGTTGAGCAGGTATACTGATGTGGCAACAGCTTCTCCCCAGAAAGAGTTAGGCAAACATTTAGCCTTTAGCATGCACCTAGCCATCTTTACCACAGTTCTGTTCTTCCTCTCATCTACCCCATTTTGCTCAGGGGTGTATGGTGCTGTAAGTTCTCTTCTGATCCCTTGATCATCACAGTATTGAGTAAACTCTTTGGAAACAAACTCCCCTCCCCTGTCAGTTCTAAGAGCTTTGACTTGCAACCCACTTTGCTTCTCCACCAACACTTTAAATTTCTTAAAGTTCTCAAAAGACTGACTTAGTCTTTTGAAAATACACCCAAGACATCCTACTGAAATCATCAGTGAGCAAGAAGAAGTATTTACTTCCTCCCAATGATTCAGTTTGCATAGGGCCACATAGGTCAACATGATTCAGCTCCAAGCATTCTCCTGCTCTCCAAGTTCCTGCATTTGGGAATGAGTCTCTAGCTTGTTTTCCATAGACACAGCCTTCACAAAACTCCAAGCTGCCTATGCTTGGTAGTCCATGTACAAACTCTTTTGTACTTAGCAACTGCAGGCTATGATTATTGAGATGCCCATACCTGAGATGCCACAATTTTGCAATTTCATCCCCTTTTACCACAAGTGCCTGCCCTGCACTTTTGGTTAGGTCCAAGGAAAAAACCTTGTTTTTCCCCATTGGTATCCTCATTACTACTGCATTCTGCACCTTCTCTTTGATGACACACATGTCATCCTCAAACAAGACTTTATAACCACCACATACTAATTGCCCCACATTCAACAGATTGTGAGCTAGATTAGGCATATATTGGACATTATGCAGTAGTTTAGTTTTACCTTGCTCAGTAGGAAGTGCAATTGTGCCCTGATCCTCAACCATTAGCTGCTTGCCATCACCAAGCTTAACTACACTCTTCTTGGAAGCATCCAACTCCTTGAACATGTCTTTTGAGCTAGTCATGTGATTTGAGCACCCACTGTCAACATACCAGACTGCACTAGCACCATAATCACAGTTATGTTGGGCAAGAAAGAGATTATATTGCTCAACATAATTGGACTTGGCTTCTGGTCTACCTTCTCCATTGTCTTTCTCTTTCTTCCAACATGAAGCTTCCTTGTGGCCTAGTTTGTTGCAGTAGTAGCACTTGATTGGGTTTTTGTGGTTACTCCGAGAAGCTTCTTCCCTTTTGTCAGGAGTATAACTCCTACCACCTCTGCCACGACCTCTGCCTCTACCACCTCCCCTACCACGATCTCTTCCTCTCCCTCTTGAGGACTGCTGAGATCTGTCATGATGAGGAGGGTCTCCTCTAGCTTGAAAGGTAGTTTCTTCCCTTTCTTCTTCCTTAATCTCTCTTTCTTCATAAGCCTGCAATGATCCTTTGAGTTCATCAAAGTTATACACATCCATATCTTTGGATTCCTCTATGGTAGAAACAAGGGGAGTATACTTCCTTGAGAGATTTCTGAGTACTTTAGTAACCACTTGTTTGGTCTTAACCTCCTCTCCATAAGACCTCATTTGTTCCACAACATTTATGATCGTGGAGAGGTAATCTTGGATAGATTCTTTATCTTTCATCTTGGAATTCTCAAATTCCCTCCTCGGGCCTTGCAGCCTGACCTCAATGACTCTTTTATCACCCATATACTCCTGCTTTAGGACACTCCAAGCCTCCTTGGATGTTGATGTTGCTGCAATCCTGGGAAAACTTCATCATCCAAGGCTTGTTGGATGAAATAGAGAGCTTTAGCATCCTTCTTCCTCTTGTCTCTTAAGGCTTGATCCGGGTCTTCTGGATGACTATCCTCAAAGCCATCCTCCACAATACTCCATAGCTCTTGAGACTTGAAGAGAGTTTTCATCTTCAAACTCCAAAAACGGTAATTCGAACCTTTAAACATAGGAAATTGGGAAATATAATTCCCATTGCTATTACCATTTGCAGTCTGCATTGTGACACACATTTTGTGTTGTATCCTTACACACTTAGGCCCTCGGATAACCCTAAGCTCTGATAACAAATGTTGGTGCAAGCTATATAATAGTTTTTTATATGAATGCTTAAACTCTCATACTTTTACTGAAAATGAAACAAGCCTTTTATAGGCATTACAAAGTAAACAAGGTGCTGCACATAAACCTCAACTTATTCCTAAGTTTAAGGCATGTTCACACGTTCAAACTAAAGAGATAACAATGACTCCAACAATTCCTAAAAATCAGCTAACTATAATAGACTTATTCAATCAACCAAATTAACAAATAAATAAATAGCTAAACGACTCAATTCCACGTGTGCATGGCTTCATGCAATCTGGATCACATTAGTCAACATTAATCAAACTTATTTTTTAATAGGACTAAATAAATCCCATTTGCAAATTCAAACATACTTAGTAACAGGGAGATTTGCTTTTTCTAGTAGGTAACTTTAAGATGTGTCCACTATAAATCTCAAAGTTTAATCATTTGCATCAGGTATAGTCGTTTAAGGAATACACTACAAATGTTGGAGTCAATTCAAAATTTCTGCCCAACATAGTACATTGCGAAGGAAAAGCGTTCAATGTGAAAAAATCTTTTAATTAGGATGTTTCTAATAGCACTAGTTCCAGTCTCAAGATTAGATCAGAACACACCACAATTAAGCAGAACAACCCAGATCAGCTCAGACCAGACCAACATTTGTTAGTTGTAATATACGTACATCTAAAACAAGACATCTATCAGACCTGTTTAGGTAGACATTTATGACGAAAATAATACATATCAAAGGAAAAGTACTTAATGAGAATAAATCTACCAAGTAAAGGACGACACATACTATTGAATAATCTTACATGATTAAAAGTAAACACATGTTAAATTAGAGGACTAAACCTACTTTTTGTATTTTTGTGTTTATGAAATTATAAATTAAGAAACATAAGTTGCAAGACTATTAATTAAATCAATAAATTTTCTCTCATATTCTTATTAATGTCGTCTCTTATTAAAATACTTTGTAGTATTAATTAATTTTGGCGTCGGTGTTGTATAACTATTCAGGACTGTGCTGGCTATAGCATTCTCAATATTGATAATGGGAGTATTAGGAAATTCGAGATCAAGAAAAACTTGTGGGATTTCACGTGAGCATTACTTTTCAGTGGGAGGGATATTGTGCTTTCTTCATGCACTCTTCTCCCTTTCCTATTACATCGCTGCTACTGCAGCGGCCGTGGCGCCGCCACAAGAGGTGGAGAAGAATATTAAGCTCACTCAACAAGGAGGCCACGCCTAGCCGCAGGGAGATTCGAAATCAAGAAAAACTTAAAACTCACAACAATTCTAACTAGATAAAGTTTTCTATGATATAATACATCTTGTGATTTCTATGTTTTAATACATCTTGTGATTTAATATGACAAGAAATATTAGTCATTCACCATCTCCAATTTCTGCTTAAATCTGCATCCCTACGTTTAATTGGTCTTCATCTAAATTTGTTGATCAACATCCACAATCTAAGCAATTAGTTGTCGTCCTGAACATTTGTTTTTTCGGGAGAAACACATACCAATTTATAGTGGCGGATTTATAATTTCGGGTTTGAGTGTTCATTTTTTCTACAATTAAAATTTCAAAGAACAAAACATATTTCACAAAACTTATACATAAATACTTGCATGTTTTTCAAACTTTTAAGTGTTCATGTGAACACTTTGGACCCAAAGTGGCTCCACCATTGCCAATTTTGTTACACATGAAGTAAACATACAAGGTAGGGGATGTTAAACCAATACCTACCAACAAGGAGAAAGGAACAAAAAGGAATTAAATGATATCGGGAAAACGAATTGCATCAAACTTGAGAATATTAAGGAAATGGATAGATTTGGTGTCAACTCCAAGGATATTGCATCAATTGTCATCCTGAACAATTTGGGAATGCAAATATGTACTCAAACTCATGCTCTACTTCTAGTGCACAAAGTACTCTAAGGAGATAACACCCAAATAGGTCCAAAAAAGTCTACAACAAAGTTTGCTATGATACTAATATCCCTCCGTACCACTAACAATGGAACAAGAGGAAGTGACACAAATCAATTTTGTTTGAAAGAAAAATCTGCTTAGATTAATATCATTATGAATCAGATCATTACAACAAACTCAAAGAGACCAACACTGACAACAAAACAACTACCTGTAACCAACTAGCATTATCAACCTTACGGCTAGACATAGAAACAATCACCCCTTAAAGAGCAATACGAATTGCTAACCATCAAACGGGTGTGACACGACAATCACTGGTCATATAGATCCTTCTAATGACATAATATGTAGCAGAATGTTCAATCTTTATTGTAGACTTGAAACTAAAGACTTCAACAGAAAATAAAGCAATATAAGCAAACTTAATGCGAAAGTATGACCTTAAGAAGTAAAATAATTGAAAAATACTCCAAACACCTTTTTGCCACTATTCTTGGAGTGTCATCTCCCAAACCCTAGCACCTCGGTCGCTCCAGGGCGGCGGTTCAGGAGGTGGGAGGACCGCTGATATGTCTTCTCCCTTTCTCAGAACTTGATCCAGAAATTGCTGGACAATTAATTTCCAATCAAAGATATCAATCACAGACCTCCAGATTTGATCCATAGCAGGACATCCAAAAATATCAACCACAGAGAAGCAAACCATGGAGAGGCAAAACGTGGTAACGACCGCCCTCCCACTATCGCTCCAAATTAATCATTCACCGGACAAGAAACGGTGCAAGCCATCTGTCGGAAAGACAAAAACCCTAGACGAAAGCTAGGGAGAAGATCATTTGTACGCTGCTCTGAGCGTTAGCACAAAATTGCCGGAGTAGTGAAGGGTATAGCCAACACTGAGCTCTCCGGTTGCAAAGCAGCACCGAATTAATATGAGACAACCTAAACTCTTTGACGACATACACTATGCCGCCTAGGTTTAGGTACTATGTATAATTAAAAACGTGAGACACAAACCAATAAAAGTGATTTATGTGGTTGATATTGATTCAATTAATAAAGTAAGAATAAAGTAAGAATGATTTAGAGTCACAAACTTTACCAAATTTGATATGAAACAATTTAGTAGGACGGATCTAAGTAAAATGAGACAATCTTAATGGAATGGAGAGAGTATAAGTAATGTAATTGTGCATAATAGGAACCACCAAGTAGTATTTTACATATACGTAGTATTAGATAAAATTTGGATGGTCACAATTCATTCCATCTTATTTAATTTAAATTTTACCAATTCAATAACAATCTCGATTTAACTTTTCTTAGTGATGGTAACTCTCCCTTTTATTCCAATAGGATTAGAGATTCATTTTGATCAAGTAAATTGTGAATGAGCAGGTATAATTCTAAAAGTAATATCAGAACTTACTCCCCAAATTCATTCCACCCTCCCTGGCGGCCAGAAAAGTGTACTAATTCTAGAAAGCGTAGTTAAGGAACTAAACCAAGAAGCATGACTTAGTCCACACCATGGGTATGGATCAAATTGACTCTGATACCATGTTAAGATTTGAGGTTCCACCCAAAAATGTGAACATAATAGGAGGAGTAGCTCATGTCTTAATGTAGCAATTTGTTGATTCAAACTTTTTCGGTGTGGGACTATAACACCAATTCGGTTTAACACTACTACATTTTCGGGTCTTTTGTAACATCAGAATTCGTGACCTTTGGTCCAAAAAACTGTTACGTTTGACTTATTGTAATAGTTTCTCGTCGTTACATTCGCTCGCGCTGCATTTGCTCTAATGTAACGGCTTGTAACGAAATTAATGACCAACTGTAATGATCCTCACAACATGCCATAAATGTTACAACAGATGGTGTACAAATGTAACGGTTCTAAATTTGTGTAGAGTGATGCCTTTGCTCTAAATTTCGTTACATTCTCTAATGTAACACTATGTAATACATACATATATATATATATATATATATATATATATATATACATACATGTATATATATATATATACATTTTTTTATTTAATTATTTATTTATTTAACAAGAATATACCAAGCTTTTATTCAATATAAGGCATGATACAATAAAAATAGGGGGGACATATACCTTATCCCTAAAAAAATAAGCACAGTGCATGTAGGTACCTAAAAAACCTATAATTAAAACACCTCTCACATTTGGAGGTAAACTAGCAATATTAAAATAAACACTAGTCACTAATATCATAACTGTCCGGACTTGGCTAAAAACTTAACACTTCACTTAATTTGCCTCCCTAGAAAAATGCTTGAATGATACCACGTGATGTTATCCCTTCATTTTCATCCCGTGTCCCCTTATCATCATAGAGCATAGTATGTTGACAGTTCACACCACCTTTAGATGATCATCATGTATTCATGTGTAGCTTTTCTATCTGCATAGGATTGACAACAATAATAAAAGAATAAGAGTTAACAACAATAAAAGTCCGAAATAAGAGTTAACCCATAAAAATGCAATGAAACTGCGATAGTACATAAAATGGATCATGTAATAGCATAAAGACTTGACTTAATTATATTCTACTGTTAGAATATGCATTTTTTCTTCTTTCAATTTGAATGATCAAAAGATCCAAAAAACTTGACTTAATTTTACTGTTAGAAAGCATTCACAAAGAAGAATTTAATTACACAAAACAGAAATATTCTTAAGTGTCAATATTGACCTCTCAATTGAACTGGTAATGTATTTCATTTTCATTTACCAGGTTGTTGCTTTAACTTGTGTTTGGCAATATATTCTGCCCTAAAATCTTCCATCACCATACGTTCTATTTCTTTGTAAGTCAGCTCAAGATCCATTAAATATTTCCATTAAATTACTTTTGCATTCCCAATCCATCTTCCATGAGCATCCATACTTGATCTTTACTAAATCTCAGATCAATAAGTTCTTCCTGGAGGCGACCCGAATAATCGGATCAAATACCTATCAAGTAGACCGTAACATATATTCAAAATGAGGAAAAGAGCTTGTAGCTTACAAATACCTTCTCCAAAGGGACAATTTGACTTGAGGGCTCTATTGACAAATCATTCCTATCTGCAACACTTAATCAATCCTTCTTTGGTACCAAGAAAAATCAATGTCATCAAGATTCAAGATGATAAAAGAAACAGATGAACATAAGGCTATTAAACAACACTATCACCTAGCTTAAGATACTAGAAACCATGCACTTTGTGACACTGATAAAAATATTAGATGAACAAAAGGCTATTAAACAATATTGCATCCGTATGTCTATATTAGAACCTTAAGTATTAGATATATTATATTCCAATGAGAAAGCATATGTGCACCATTTGGTTCTATTCTATCCCCGGCTTCAAGTAAATCTCTCGCCTTCATATCAAATAATACAAATAATTTGCACTTGTGTGTACATGCAATACCAAATTAGCTCCCATAATATTGGTATTCTATTCTAGTAAATCAAGATATTCCACTACTATATATGATCGAAGTAGAACCAATAGCACCATTTGTTTCTATTCTAGTAATCAGTTAAAGTCCTTTAGTTCATTAACCAAGTGGTCCAACAACTTTGAGAAAGGATATTATGCTTCCAGACCAAATAATGGTATCTTTCAAATCATTCAAGGAGCATTTATTTAATCACATTACGAAAATATAAAAGGAGAATATGTGTTTCCATTCTTCTCTACGTTTCATTATAGCTAGCATTTCAATTTTCAAGTACAAAGGATCCAAACATTTGAGCTATGGTATTATGGTCTTCCAAATATCACATAATAATCTTGTCCAAAAAAATTTTAAATGAAAAGAAATAGCAAAGACCGTGTTATACTATCATATACATATTCAAATCAAATTAAAAAAAAAACTAGCCAAATAAGAAAACACAAAACCGAAATATCATCCTCTCAACCAACTCTTCGAGCATGTAATACTTATGTTTTCTTTAAAACTAACAAGACCTGAAAATTATCAGTTTGTTAGTGATAGTCCATGTTTTCTATTACAGCAAAGATAAACAGTATAACAAGTAGAAGATTAACGATAAAGATGAACACAAGATGATCGATGATAACCTTCCTTGATATACCGTGAACTCGTACAGAGAAGAATTTGCTCTAAGGCTATTTGGAACGAGTACGAAAGTTAACGCAACCCTAAACCTGAAGCGCCTTTTTATATGCGCAGGTATAGGGTTGGCGGAAAGGCTTTCAGCCTGATATGGGCCTGACACATTGGCCCCATATGCTTTATCCTAATAAATACAAATATTGAATACAAGGATATAATAAAGCTAATCTATTACAAGATAGGTGACAAACTTGATTCACAATTAAATGATCTTCAACAGTCAGCATACGGAGTCTGCATGTTGCAATGAACACAATAGCATCTTTGACCAAATCATAAAAGAGGAAGAAAATACAACTTTTGTAGTTCAGACATTTTTTCGAGCACCTCTTGTGCAGAAGCAACATATATATGGTTGGAGTTATGATTGTTCTTAACCTTCTTGAAACTAAATTTATCCATGGAAGATGCATAAAGAAACCTCCAGGAATGCAGAGAGTAAACACAAGACTGCATTAAACAGATAAAATAAATGAGGTTGATTCTAGACAAGCCTAAATAGCATAGGAATATATGAAATCACCACATAAAATCAACTGTGATCAACTCGTTGCCTATTTTGGTGCATATACTATTACGTTTGAGAATGAAACTATAACAATCATGTTCATTTCCAGAAGCTTCCCTACCTCACGGGCGTCTCCAGTCATGGTTTCCGATTTGAGCCTCTATCAGCGAGCACAGGTTCCCTCACAGTTAAAAGGAGTTCTTTGCCTTTCTCCAGCAAGTTCTGACACCCCCTCTGCCACTCCAACAGTCAAGCCGTCGATTCGATTCAGAGATGCAATCTCGCTATAGCCGGGGTCGCCAACTCCTCTTCTCTCCCTCTCGATAAGAAGCAGTAAAGGTTGGATTTGGTTCTGCCTTTGGCTTAATTACGGTATGAGTCCGTCCGATTAGGCGCCCCAGATCTTTTATTTTCCCAGAATCTCAGTCGAATCTGCGCTCTATCCATTCTCCGGTGAAGCCTAGTCCCTCGTCGCAGGATCTCCAGAGTTTGAAAAGTCGGGGAAACAACAATGCAATCGGTCGTTGAGATCCCCAAAGGTCCTTATGCTAAAAATCGTCGCCATACACATACATTGACATCTCCCTTCGATGAGCAGGCCCCCACCTTTTGTTTCCCTAAGATCCAGGGTCGGCGGAACACCCTAGAGGAACTATATTGGGGCGGAACACCCTAATGGAACTACTACCTTCGTAACATAAAGATCTTCCCATTTTGACTTTTCACGGCCTTCTAAGTTGAACTTTGATTCTAAATATCTACATATCTATATTCATAAAATTCATAATAAATTAACATTCAAACAATATGTTTTACAATGAAGTATATGAAATAAATTTTTAATCATAACATAATGTGAGTTTTGAATAATTAATGGTCAAAGTGTATAAAGTTTGACCCAAAAGAGTCAAACTAGGACGGTTCTAGAGTTACGGAGGTAGTATATTGGAAGACCGGGAGATTTTGGAGATTGATTTATGGAAGTTGATTCTTCTATGAAAAATGTTTTACCTAGTATGTTTCAGGAAATTTGTTTTGCCGCTTAACGTCGTGTTTTAATGCTTTTTCATCACATAAAAAATGATGGAAACCTTAATTTTAGTAAATTTTTTGTATAACACCAGTGTTACGTTAGCGTTTACCAAATGTATTTGATCTATAGCGCTAAATTTTTTTCCTAAAGTATAACCTTAATCTACCAAAAAGTGTAACATTTTTTAAACAAACGTCTGTATATATATAAAAAATAGTGTTACATTAGAATCACACTAAATGTAACAGTATGTAACAGGAGTTACACAAATGAAGCAAATGATATATAACCATTACAATAGATGAACCAAATGTAACAGTATGTAACAATAGTTACGCAAATGAACCAAATGATATATAACCATTACAATAGATGAACTTAATGTAACGTTTTTACTAACTGTTACAAAAATAATGTTACATTAGGCTCGGAAATGTAGTAGTGTTTTTGCAAAAATACGTAGAACTCTTACTACTTTAATTTTCAACTTGAGAACCACAATATGCATTGAATATTCATGATGAGTTGGATCATGATTACAAACGATTATCAATTCATGCTCCTAAAAATCTCAATTTCAACTACGAAGTAGAAACTTTCTCTTATGGGCAGGCGTATGTTTTAGAGGTTAAACATGGCTTAGTCCATAATACCTCGTAGTATATAATTGGGTTTGCTAAAAGACTGGTAGAACTTGTATGATGAATAATTAAATTACTTAGCCTATATTAATGTTAGAGTTAGTGGACAAGGATCTAGAATACTCTTTAGTTTGTCAAAGTACTAAACAAATCTAGCATATTCATATGAAACATGGTTAAATGTAAAACATATAGAGGTGTGTCTAGAAGGATTCTACAAAAATATAAATAGAGTGTTTGTCATCCATTTGTAACACAAGCATAAAGCTCAAAGTCAAACTTTCAAAGTTGATAAGAGTTACAAATTGTTCCTATCGAAATCATTTCCTTTTAATTTCTGTCTTCCATACACGATCACATAATTCCAAAATTCTTAAACCACTTTTCTTCTAACATATGTTCACTAAGTTGAGAGAAAATAGGAATGGTTCCTACAGAAAAAAAGGATAAAGATTAACTTATGTAGTTTAATTGTAAAATAATACCTCCTCCGTTATTTTTTAGTTGCAACATTGTATTTTTCACGTTTGTCAATGCACAATTTTGACCGTCATTATATTTAATTCCGTATTAGTAAAAATAAAATAAAAATCAGATTAAAAAACTTAGTAATGAGACGAATTTAACAATATTTTTCAAAAAATATTTCTCATACATTAATAAATAAAAAGAAGTCAAAGTAAAATACATGAACAGTGTATATATTCCAATAATGTTGCAACTAATGTAATACGGTCATATGAAGGATAGCACAATTCAGCTGGAAATGTAACTACAAATTTACTTTTTGAACTGATTATAAGAATCGACCAAAACAATCAATCATATGGAATAGAGGGACTACCACTCTATCTGGGGAGCTGCTCACTAATCGACATTTCATTCCTTGAAATCTGGAGGCTGCTGGAAGACTCTGAACTAGTGACGTTGCTATGAAAGGAAAATCCAGGGACTGAAGGAACTGGAAGGCTCATAGACAAGTTACTTAGCATTTGAACAACTGTCGTCATTGTTGGTCTATATGCAACATTATGTTGAACACACAACAAGGCAATGTGGATGCATTTTGTTATATCATGCAGTGGACTGGATTCACCCACCAACATTGGATCTATCACCCTCGAGGCCCCTCCATTTCTCCACTCGGTCCAAGCCTATAATTTCACTCAAAAAAAATTTTTACGCTGAGATATTCTCAAAATCGGAGAAAATTATTGTTATCCTGATATCAGACTCTCATGTTTTGAGATTATCAGACATTAATATGACAATAGTATTATCGAAATTGTATGTAACTTCCAATTCAACATGATACTAACTACAAACTACTCATATAAAATATGTACTATGTATTGCTTTTATTTCTTGTATTTAGTTCTGTGTATACTTTTTCAATCCAATCTTTCAATTTTCCTTATTCAGAGCTATATATGTATTTTTAACTAGGGGGGAATAATATAAATACCCAAAAATTGAAGGAGTGTGAGTTAATACCCCAAGTTTGGATATGTAATATATATACCTGAACTTTATATAAAAAGTTGTTTTTGCATCATGATTATATGTTTTTTACAAATATAAATTTAATGCAATAAGTAAACAATTTAAAGTGCTCAAAGCTTTATGTGGAATGTAGTTAAAATTCTAAAATTTCACGTGTGAAATAAATAATATTAATCTTGTACAATCTAATTCTAATGGCATCCCCATAACTGTTTTGTGTATTTTAAATTATGTACTTAACACCATAAAATTACATTTGTGAAAAAACTTATGATCATGGTTGTAACATAGCTTTTTATATAAAGATTGGGATGTGTGTATGTGCATATATTACATGCGCAAGTTTAAGGTGCTTACGTTACATCCTTTCAAAGTTTGGGATATTTCAAATATTTTCACCTTTTAGCTACTACATAAAGTATTGAATTATTGGTCTCATGCAACTTGTGTACACACATTTTTCGATAGAACTCCGTATTAGATCTAATCACGTACTTTTAAATGCAACATTCTCTTTTTCATGTATCGCGATGAATAAATTTGAACATTAATGTTTTTAATTCTCCTTTACTAAACAATTGAAAAATCTGATTTTGAATTTTTACAATGAGACAAATTTAAGAATATTTTTTAAAATACTTTTTAGTGCATTATTAAATAAAAGGTAGTTAAAACCGAACTCGTAAATAGTATAAAACTCAATATGTTGTATTTATTCAATAAAGAATAAAGTGTGGTAATACTTACATAACTTAGAAGGTCAGCCATAGATTCCTCAATTTGAAATTTATTTTTTTTCTGTCCACTTATAATTTCAAGGACTAACACCCCAAAGCTGTAAACATCCGATCTTGTAGAAAATTGACCATGCCATACGTACTCCGGTGCCATATATCCGCTGCATTTTGATCAGATATAAGTTATTGAGGTGAGTTGATGAACTAAGGGCGTAGCTCGCTCACCTGGTAGAAAGAGACTGCCACAAAGGAGAGACTCGGTATGAAGCTCTACTCCCTTTCCATTAGTGTGAGATCAAATCTCACTTAACATCCTTCCAAATAACTATTCGGTTGATTCTGGGGAGCTCACGGATGTGGTGGCATCCTTTTTTTGAGTAAGTGGATGAACAGATTTTTTAAATAATTTTTTGCATGACTTTTTCACGTATAAATTAAAGGAGTTAATTTAATTTAGGACTTTTTGCCACTTTTAGTCCCTCGACTATCGTGTCAGTGACACTTTTGATACTCGACTTTTAATTTTTCCACTTTTAGTCCTCGACTATTGTGCGAGAGACACTTTTGGTATCCGTCTTTGAAAATTTCCGTATTTAGTCCTTCGACTTTTGTAGAAGTGACACTTTTGGTCCTTCAACTATTGCTATAGAGACATTTTTGGTCATCCACTTATTGTGTCAAAATCATAGTAGAAGGACTAAAAGTGTCAATTTGATAATACTCAAAGGACTAAATGTGGGAAACTTGAAAGTAGAGGACTAAAAGTGTCTCACGAACAATAGTCGAGGACTAAAAATAGAAAAATTAAAAGTCGTGTACCAAAAGTGTCACTGACACAATACTCGGGGACCAAAAGTGGCAAAAACTCTTTAATTTAGAGTGAATCGGGATTCATCAATCATCCAACCCTGTATCTACTTCCTAAGGTATTGTTTCGTAGTGCTCCTATAAGGTTTGATATTTTAACATGGAATCTCAAATCGATCTAAATACTCCGTATGATTTAATTAAGAGCCTTTAAAATTGAAATGACCACTGATCGAATATAAGGCGTTTAGTAACCTTTTAATTTCTAATATTATATTCCAGATCGTTATCATATTCAAAATTGTTTTATGGAGTCTTGTAAAAAAATAAACAAATATTAATTTAAGTGTTGATAGAGAAGAATTGATATGGTATTCAGTCAAATTCAAATATCATAAAGTGTTCTAAACAAGTTTCCCATCCACCCCACTAAAATTGTCACATACTAAATTTGATAAAATTTGTGTGGTTATAAATCATTCTTACTTTATTCTTACTTTATTAATTCAATATTAATCACATAAACTCATTTTGTTAATAACCGTGCAACTTTCTCATGTCTCAATGTTAGTGGAACGAAGGTAGTAATATAAAGTTCTTAGAACAAGTATCATGTACGGAGTATATACTTACTAGGTTCCAACTATCTTCCATGTAGAGCCTTGAGTCTCATCCTTAGGAAACAACCGAGCCATTCCAAAGTCTGCAATTTTTGGATTCAAATCCGCATCAAGCAAAATGTTACTGGCTTTGAGATCACGATGAATAATGCGCAAGCGGGAGTCTTCGTGCAGGTAAACAAGCCCTCGAGCAATGCTTTCGATGATTTTATAGCGTCTCCTCCAATGCAAGTATCCACGGTTTATAGGATCTAAATGTCAATGTTTTTATCTATGAATTTTTAGTAATACCTAAACAAATAAAACATAAAGGAATTGTTTAATTAAATGAAAAAAGAAATGATACCAAATAGCATCTTGTCTAGGCCTCCATTGGGAACAAATTCATAGACAAGGACCATTTCTTTTCCTTCCAGGCAAAATCCAAGCAACCTGACCAAATTCCTGTGTTGAAGCTTTGCTACTAAAGCTACCTCAGTTTTAAACTCTTGATTTCCTTGATTGGATGTGTGCGACAGTCTCTTGACTGCAACTTCCAGCCCGTTATCAAGTTTACCCTTTATAGTTCGAGAATCGGTAGACAAAACAAAATCATAATCTACCAAACCTTAAATAAACATTCATTTAGAATATTCATACATATGTGCGGAGTATCTTATATCGGAATTTCCATACTTTATTACTCTCCCCTTCCATAAAATTATTCACAGTTTGACTTAGATAAACGTTTAACAAAGTAGAAATAAAGTAAAAATGTATGGTTGTGATTGAATATGAAAAATGTAAATGAATATTAGTCAAATAAAACTTTCTAAAAAGGGAAATGAGAAGAATTTTTTGGGGCGTCCCAAAAAGTTAAATGAGAAGAATTTTGGAGGAAGAATACAGAGTATTTACCTATCTGGTTTGTTGAACTCCGTGGTTTTTTCCTCTAATGCTATTGAGTTTTATATTTACCATCTCTATTATTGAGTTTTATATTTACTATTTATATTAACATCCGTATGTACAACCAAATATTGGGACCCATACTCATGCACCCATCTAGCCTATATAAGCAAGCCTTCTTCCATTGTAAGTGTATCACAATACCCATATGTAGTAAGCAATATTTCCTGCAAACTCTCTTCCGTCAAATAATGAAGTTGATGAGATTTGTTAAATCCTTGTTTTGTATTATCATTTCTATCATGGTATCAGAGACTAGATCCTACAAACACCTTTTTTAATCACCACTTTCTCACCCCTCTAACCATTAAAACATGGCCGGTGAAGTCGAGAAAAAGGAGGTTGGAAGTACTCCGGCCGGCATCATTATCGATTCCATGTCTCCATACTTCATCCAATCCGGAGACAAACCAGGTGATGTCTATGTAACGGTACCACTTCGTGACGGCAACTATGGGGATTGGCTTGATGAAATGACCAATGCCCTTCATGCCAAAAATAAAATTGGCTTCGTTAATGGCGACATTCCAGTTCCGAAGTCGGATTCACCATACCTTCCATATTGGCAACGAGCAAACGCCATGGTTAGGGGTTGGTTAAATAGTAGCATGGAGATTGAGCTCCGCCAAAGCGTCAAGTTCAAAACGGCATGTGAAATTTGGGCCGACTTGGAAGAACGGTTTGGAAAGGAGAGTGCTCCACGTGCTTATGAACTCCGTTGTTTCCTTGGCAACGTCAGACAAGATAATCAATCGGTCTCTGCATATTTTAGCCGGCTTCGTCGGATTTGGGATGAAATAACTTCCATCAACACCGGCCTAATTTGTAAGTGCGGAGGATGCTCGTGTAATATTTCTAAACAAATCACCGAAGCTAGAGATAGAGACCGACTCTATGATTTTCTAATGGGATTAGATGACTCTTACGGACAACTTAAAACTCAAATCCTAGCCACTAGTCCGGTCCCAACACTAACGGCCGCTTATCACCTCATCTCGGAAAGTGAGCAGCATCGCTCAATAGCGTCCACTCGAAAACAACCTGTTGATAGTGTAGCATTCAAAGACCAAGTGAGGAAGGGTGCAGATTTGTCATACAACCCAATTGGAAATGCCAATCAGCTATACACCCACTGTGGAAGGACAAACCATACAAAGGAGAGCTGCTTTGAGTTGATTGGATACCCACCAACGTGGAAATTAGGAAGAAATGGAAAATCTCCACCCTTTCGGCCAATAGAAGAGAGAAAGAATTTTGTGGTGCGTGGTCATGCAGAAATGCAGTCACGTAACCCAGATTTTCAACGTGGAAATGTCAAGAAAGTGAGTCAAACAAGAGCAGCGTCACACGTCCTGGGAAACTCTACACCAATTCCTGCGTCTCCACTTTTGACGGATCAATTATAGCAACTTGCGCAATACATGCAAAAGGAGTTTATGAACACTGCCACCTCATCAAATGTACATGCAAATGTAGCTTCTAAACCCACATGTGAGCGGCCATGGATTATTGACACCGGGGCGACAGAGCACATCACGTGTGACGGTGATAATTTATTCAACGTTACAACCCATAATCATGAACCCTCCGTTCAAATTCCAAATGGAGAAATTATTCATGTTCGGACAGTTGGAAGTATATACCTTCCCAACGGATTCCTTCTACGCCGAGTCTTATATATACCACAGTTTAAATGCAATTTAATTTCTGTCAGTAGACTTGCCGATGACTTCAACTGGACACTCACATTTTTTCGGGATTTCTGTATTTTTCAGGACTTACCTTCGAGGAGGCTGATTGGGGTGGGTAAATTCCACGATGGCCTGTATTTTCTGGACCCTCCAGAGAAAGGAGGGGTGGCAATGTCAGTTACTCTTAATTTTGAATTATGACATCAACGTTTGGGACACGATTCAGATAAGAGACTTCAGCACATCTCCATTCTCAAGGGACTCAAACAGGAAAATAATTTTTGTGATTCATGTTTACGAGCCAAACAGACTCGTTTACCTTTCCCTACTAGTACGAATAAAAGTGCTCGTTGTTTTGAATTGATTCATTGTGATATCAGGGGAGGTTACAAATGTGAATCTCTAACAGGAGCACGATATTTTCTGACAATTGTTGATGATTTCTCTCGCGGAGTTTGGGTTTACTTAATGAAAAATAAATCCGAGGTTCCCCAACTCTTGATACAATTTTGCAACATGGCAGCTACTCAATTTGACCAGAAGGTCAAACGCGTCCGATCAGATAATGGAGTGGAATTTCATACCATTATGCTACTCAATTATTATAAAGAAAATGGTATACTCATTGAAACATCTTGCACTGACACTTCACAACAAAATGGGGTAGTCGAGCGCAAACATTGACACATTTTAGAAGTTGCCAGGGCTCTCCGTTTTCAATCTGGGTTGCCAATTAATTTTTGGGGCGAATGCATCCTCACTGCCGTCCACCTCATCAATCGTACTCCATCACCAAAAATTAATTATCAAAGCCCTTATGAGGTCCTTTTTAAGCAGGCACCAAATTATGATCACTTACGAGTTTTTGGATGCTTGGTATATGCTCATGATAATAAACAAAAGGATAAATTTGATGAAAGGCGGAGTCCTTGCATTTTTCTCGGTTATCCACCAGGTCAAAAGGCTTATCGAGTTTTTCATTTAAAAAATATGTCAATTATCAGTACACGGGACGTGACATTTTTTGAGCAGCATTTCCCGTTCAAAATCTCAACTGGCAAGGACGACACTTTCTCTGAAGTTATTAGCAAAGTTTATCATCAAATTTTAAATTTGGACATTTCTCATACACAAGGTTGGTCCCATACACATGCAAAACCATCCTCCTTTTCGTCTGCAAGCGAGAGCAGCAACTCTTCTCCTAGGCTGGCACCCTCACAATCACATGATCGACCTCACAATCAAGAAGCATGTCAACCCATGTCTGAAAATATCAATAGCCTTGGTGGTCCTCCTGACACATCCACTCAACCACATGGTGCAGACACATCACCTCCCACAATACATGATCCCCACATGGATAAAGCTTTCCCACATAATACACCACCACCCACGAACGTAAATCAAGGACCCCATCTCAGTACAGATCATGTAATCACAGAACCTGCCAACACCCATCAGATTGAGCTTCGACGTAGCAACAGGACACGTTCTCATCCCCGTCATCTTGAGGCTTTTGAAACTGACTTACCCACCTCCAATTTGGCTAACTCGACGGTATATCTTATTTCTCAATTCCTAAGTTATGACAAATTTTCCTCATCGCATAAAGTTTTTTTAGCGGCCATCACCTCTCGTGATGAGCCAAAATATTTTTCATAGGCAGTTCAAGATCCCCTATGGCGGACTACTATGCAGGCCGAAATTAAAGCTTTGGAAGATAACGGGACCTTGTCTTTGGTCAACCTGCCTCCCGGAAAAAAGGTTGTTGCTTCCAAATGGGTGTACAAAATTAAATACAAGCCCAACGGCGATGTTGAGCGTTACAAAGCACGTTTGGTGGCCAAAGGTTTTACTCAAATTGAAGGAATTGATTTTAATGAGACTTTTGCTCCGGTGGCTAAATTAGTCACAGTCCGTTGTCTATTAGTTGTTGCCGCGAAACGAAATTTGGTGGTCCACCAACTGGATGCCAACAATGCCTTTCTTCATGGAGACTTACATGAGGATGTTTACATGCGCATTCCTCAAGGTTTTTCCAAGCTTGGCGATAATCGCGTTTGTAAACTTCACAAATCCTTGTATGGGCTTCGACAGGCCTCTCGCAATTGGTACCAAAAATTCAATCGGGCACTTCTCGACATTGGTTTTTCCCAATCTCGAGCAGATCACTCCTTATATATCTACAAACTTGGTTCTATAACCACCTTTGCGCTCATTTATGTTGATGATGTTATCTTTGCCGGAAACTCCTCACCTCACATCACACATGTCAAGAAATTTCTGGATGAGACATTTAGCATCAAGGACTTGGGTTCTCTTAAATATTTTCTTGGCATTGAGGTTGCACGCTCTCCTGACGGTTTTGTCTTGAGTCAACGAAAATACACACTAGACATTTTGCAGGAAGCCGGCTTACTTGGTGGACGTCCAAGTCAATTTCCAATGGACCAAAACTTGAAGCTACGACCCGATGATGGGAGTCCACTTGTTGACGCCTCCTCTTATCGGAGACTAATTGGCCGACTGTTATATCTTACTGTGACACGACCAGACATTGTTTTTTCGGTGACTCAACTTAGCCAGTTTCTGAGCAACCCACGACAATCTCACCTTGATGCCCCACTCGGATTCTCCGCTACCTTAAAACAACGCCTGGCCAGGGAATTTTTCTCTCATCAGATTCTGATTTGAATTTAACTGGATATTGTGATGCCGACTGGGCCGGATATCCCTTCACTCAGCGTTCTAGCACAGGCTACCTCATCCGTCTCAGAACCTCTCCCATTTTCTTGGCGCACCAAGAAACAATCTGTCGTCTCACACTCCAACTTGAGGGGGAGTATTGAGTTTTATATTTACCATCTCTATTATTGAGTTTTATATTTACTATTTATATTAACATCCGTATGTGCAACCAAATATTGGGACCCATACTCATGCACCCATCTAGCCTATATAAGCAAGCATTCTTCCATTGTAAGTGTATCAGAATACACATATGTAGTAAGCAATATTTCCTGCAAACTCTCTTTCGTCAAATAATGAAGTTGATGAGATTTGTTAAATCCTTGTTTTGTATTATCATTTCTATCAAATGCATATGTTGCACCCGCGTGCTATAAAACATCTATGCATATTTAATAATTTTTCCCAATTTACTCTTCTTCTACTTGTCAATTATCTCTTTTAGCGAAGAGCACAATGATGAAGTGGTTATATTTTTAATAAGAGTCTTTTATTAAATCATTTTGTATGTTTTTCAAACAGTATAGTTTGGTCAAGGCAGATATACCTACGAAAACAGAAATACTTCATCCGTTGTTAAATAAATGTAATAATCAATTTTTCACGTTTGTCGATGCACAACTTTGACCATTAGTGTATTTAATTCTCTTTTAGTAAAAATATTAAAAAATTCAGATGTTGAAAATTTAGGATGAAACAAATTTAGCGATATATATTTTAAAATAAATTGTTAATACATTAATAAATAAAACGTAGTCAAAGTAGAACATGTGAATAGTGTAAAATTCTACATGTTTCATTTATTTAAAAACAGAGGTAGTACTAGTTATTTAATATTTACCAAACTTTAAAGTCACATTTAATAAATTTTATAGAAACAAAGAGAATTTATCCGAGTAAGAAAGAAACTTTGTGTTGCTGGATTTACCTTGTATACAGCTCCAAAACCTCCTTGTCCTATCTTGCATTTGTCCGAGAAGTTTCCAGTTGCATTTTTTATGGTAATGAACTCATATTGTATAAACTCCTCTGTACTAATTCCACCGATAGAAGAGCCATTTTCTTCAACTGCTTTCAAATGGAAACAAAGAACAAGTTTTATTTCACAAATTCTATTCATCAAAGTCAAACATATGAACAACTAAAGTGCACATTTTTAGGCGTAGTACTAATTATATTTATAACCTCCATATTTACCTTCTGTGAAGTTCGGCGCCATCTTTTTGTGTCTTATCTTTAGTATGATAACCATACAAATAATAAGCGCAATGAGTCCCGCGGAAATTGAAATTACAATAACCATTATTGTTCTTTTACTACCACCCTTTCCTACAAAGAAAAAAGCGCCAGATTATTTAAAGATTGATAAAAGAAAATAAAACAAATGCCATTTGACATTTAATTTTTTCTGATTGGATAAATATGAAGATAAATTTAAATGTAGAGTATTTTTGTCAAGACATGTGAATCTGCATTCACATGTTACGGTGAGTTACTGAATTGTGATTTGCACTAAAAATTAAAAGTCATCTAGGCTATGGTTGGAAAAATGATTTTACAAATTACAAGAGTATGTAATATTATCAGTCACTTTGGAGCTAAAATATGTAAGACATTTATGTCTCTATTTTAGTAGGACTAAGTCCTTGCATATTCTATTCGTGAGGTGAACGTTTCCACATTTTATTTGTAGAAAATCGAATTTGAAATTAATGAGATATTATTCCCGAAGTTCTCTCCGAAGCAAAGTCCGTGAAACCTTTAAGAAATATTGAGGGCATATATAAGTAAAATATAAATGTTGAGTTGGGCTCTAAAGGAACCCAAGTTTTGTGCATGAAGATATAGCATATTATTGTTTCTAGATAATTGTACGACATTGCACAATCAAATTAGAGAATGATTAATAAAAATTGTGGTGAAAATTCCCTAAATAGTGTTGGAAAATGTGTTAAGAAACTGCATTAAATGGTCATTTTGGGGCAATATTTTGAGTGGGGCCCACTTTCGATTTGAGTCGGGTAAAAGTGGTTTCGGATTGTCCTTGTTAAGAGCTACAATTTGATATGTGGTACACTCAAAACGGATAACGGGTGAATGAGAAATTGATTCTCAAAGTTCTGCCCGTTGGAGTAGCCCGCTGCCAGGCAGCCACCTGCTGAGGCGCCTGCTGCAAGGCAGCCACCTGCTGAGGCGCCTGTTGCAAGGCAGCCACCTGCTGAGTCGCCTGCTACAAGGCAGTCACCTGCTCGCCTGCTGAGCCGCCTGCTCCCTAGCAGTCTGTTGGTTCCGTTACAGAGATTATTGCCCAACGTCTCTTGCAATTAAATGGACAGTTACGAACGATTCAACGCCAACGTTTTGGACATTGATGTCCAACGGTAATGTCCATTAAAACTTCATTAACACAAAACAAATCTTCCTCTATAAATTGGCTAGCAGGTGGTTTGCAACAACACACACAAATGATCACCTCGCACTCTTTAGCTCTCAAAAACACCTCTAGCTTTCTTGAAAAATTCCTTGGAGTTCATACTTGTTCTCGTTCGCCGGAACAATTCGTTTGAGTGCTCAAACTATTGTTCGTAGTCATCGTATCTTGAGAAACGATTGTTGTAACGCTCCTAGCACCCCAGGAGGCAATAAATACGTTTTAAGGACATTGTGCGTTGCACGAGCTTTGGCTAATTCTGCTCCATCTAGTTTCTGTTTTTCTTTAGTCATTTTAATTAATTAATTAATTTTATTAATTACATTTCTTTTTTTTCAAAACACACCCAACAATCTTAAAGCGTATTTGTTGATTGTTCTACTACGGTAAACAATCTTAAACTTGTAGTTTGTCACCTTGGTGAAAGAACTTATTTTTTTTGTGTTTTCGAATAACGTAATAAACGAAAATGACTTCTCAAGAAAATGAAAATGTTGTTGGGCAGAATGCTTTGAACGGTTTGAATGATAATCAATCTGAAAACGGAACTTCGGTGAACAATAGTTCACAACGCGGTGCATCTGTTTTGGTTAACCAAAGGGTTATCCCTATGGTGACCGTGTCGAGCAACCCTGTGGAGAAACCCGAAAAATTTAACGGGTTAAACTTCAAGAGGTGGTAGCAAAAGATGCTATTTTACCTCACTACTCTCGGTCTTGCTAGGTTCTTGACGGAAGAAGCGCCGGTAGCAACCGGGGGTGAGGTGGATGCGCAATCTTTCAACGCGGTTGAAACTTGGAAGCATTCTGACTTCCTTTGCCGAAACTAAATGTTGAACGGGTTGCGTGATGCTTTGTACGATGTGTATAACAAATTAGCTACGGCTAAGGAGCTATGGAATGCTTTGGATCACAAATATAAAAGCGAGGATGCCGGCGCAAAGAAATTTGTTGTCGGTCGATTTCTTGATTTTAAAATGGTGGATTCGAAGACGGTCTTGAGTCAAGTTGTAGAAATGCAAATGATATTCAATGAAATTCGAGACGGTCTTTCCAAGTGGCGTCAATTATACATTTGTTGTCGCCGGCTTGGAAGGATTTCAAGAACTACCTTAAGCATAAGCGAAAGGAAATGAACTTGGAGCAGTTGAACCTCCGTCTGCGGATTGAAGAGGATAATCGGAAGAACGATGGGAGACTCCCAATTGTTAGCGGCGCCAAGGCCAACGTGGTGGAGCATGCAAAAGGCTCCAAAAATAAAAATAATGGGAAGAGCAAGCTCGATCACAAGGGAGGCGTTTCCAAACCCAAATTTAATGGAAAATGCTTCAATTGCAACAAAAATGAACACAAGTCCTCGGGATTGCAAGGCATCAAGAAAAAAGAAAGACTCTCAAGTCAACTTGGTGCAAGGTGGGCAAAAGGATGAAGACATCATCCTTGCGGCTGTGGTGACCGAGGTCAACCTCGTTGGATCCAATTCCAAGGAGTGGTTCGTGGACACCGGTGCAACCCGGCATATTTGCTCAAACCGGGAGTTATTCACTACTTTTGAGCTATCAAATGGTGAGAAAGTGTGGATGGGAAACTCAGCTCATTCCGTGGTTGAAGGCGTGGGAAAGGTGGTCCTGAAGATGACTTCGGGCAAGGAGCTAACTCTCAACAATGTGTTGTACGTCCCGGAGATACACAACAACCTGATCTCGGGTTCGTTGTTGAACAAACATGGCTTTCGCATGGTGTTTGAGTCGGACAAACTAGTTTTGTCTAAATCGGGAATGTATGTGGGCAAGGGGTATACATGTGATGGACTGTTTAAGCTCAATGTAATGACTATTAATAATAATAATAATAATAAAACTCCTTCTACTTACTTGCTTGAGTCTTCTAATGTGTGGCATGGTAGAATTGGACATGTTAATTTTAATTCTATACGTAGATTAATTAACATGGAGCACATTCCTAAATTCACAATTGATGTGAAGCACAAATGTGAAGTTTGTGTAGAGGCAAAACTAACGAAAACGTCTTTCAAATCGGTTGAAAGAAAAACGGAACCACTAGAATTAATTCATAGTGACGTTTGTGATTTTAAATCAATACAAACACGTGGCGGTAATAAATATTTTATTACTTTTATCGATGATAGCACTCGCTATAGCTATGTTTATTTATTAAAAAATAAACACGAAGCAATCGATAAATTCATTCTTTATAAGAATGAAGTGGAAAACCAACTTAATCGACGGATTAAAATGGTTAGGAGTGATCGAGGTGGTGAGTATGAAGCACCAATTGGTGACTTTTGCGCGAGCGTGGGTATAGTACATGAACGTACCGCACCCTATTCACCTCAATCAAACGGTGTTGCCGAACGAAAGAATCGCACATTGAAAGATATGATAAATGCGATGCTAGTAAGTTCGGGCCTGCCACAAAATATGTGGGGCGAAGCAGTCTTGTCAAGCAATTACCTTTTAAATAAGGTTCCCTGGAAAAAATATGATAAAACTCCGTACGAGTTGTGGAAAGGCAGACGACCTTCCTATCAAGATTTAAAAGTGTGGGGGTGTCTGGCAAAAGTGCTTGTACCAACACCTAAGAAAATAAAAATAGGTCCAAAAACGGTGGATTGTATTTTTATTGGATATGCACAAAATAGTAGTGCTTATCGGTTTTTAGTGTACGATTCGAATAATCCGGATGTACATAAAAACACAATAATTGAATCAAGGAATGCATCATTCTTTGAAGACGTATTTCCATGCAAGTCCAACGAAGGACCAAGCACGTCAAAATGAACATTTGACGTAGCTATGGAAAATACTAGCGAGGGGTCCGGAGAAGAACCCGTACCCAGACGTAGCAAACGTGCTAGAGTTGAAAAATCCTTCGGGCCGGATTTTCTCACCTACTTGGTAGAATTTAACTCGGATATTCTAACATGTATGGTAGAAAATGAACCGGATTTTCTAACATGTTTGGTAGAAAGTGAACCACGGACTTATACGGAAGCCGTGACGTCTACCGAAGGTCCTATGTGAGAAAAAGCCATCAAAAGTGATGAGGATTTGATACGTTTGTAATTTCCATATGTATGTATGTGTTTTTAATTAGTTTTGAATGATTTTTACTTTGGAAATTACACACTTTTGGTGTAATAGTTTAGTTTGTTAAATTCTTGTAAATTGTTTAGATTAGGTTTATTCTGAGCTCAAGTAGTTCTTGATCAACTCAAAGGACAGTTGGTGAACCCCAAAAGTGGAAGGAAGGTGCAAAAATCAAAAGAAAGTAGATCCTGATTTTTTTTGTCTGTACCCGATCGAGTATGACCTATACTCGATCGGGTATCTTGTTGAAATTTCAAATCGGATCAGATCCGAAGACAAAGGATCATGCAGAGAAGATTCGGACCACGATCGAGTGTCCATACCCGATCGGGTACACCGACACACCCGATCGGGTATCTCTTCAAATATCAACCTGAATTCGGTCGAGTATACTCCGGATCTGAAGTTATAAGCATACTCGACCGGGTACAAAGGTATACTCGATCGGGTATGCTTATGAAATTTTCCCTTTGATCGATCGAGTATACCTCGAATTTAAGGTATTACACATACCCGATCGGGTACCTTGTATATACCCGATCAGGTACCCGAGCTGCATCTCAAAAGCCTCTAAATACACCCCCTTTCCTTCACAATTAGATATCCAATTCCTTTATACTTCTAAGCTCAGTCTAGAATAGTTCTTTCTTTATATTTTCATCATGTTTAGTCTCCAAATGAGGAGCTAAACTCTTCCATCTTGGTTTTGCTACTTTGAAGCTTAATGAATTTGTAAGTTGTGAGTTATTTTCTTTAATCTTCTTCCTTGAATATTAATTCTTTCTTTAAAATACTATTTCTATATCAAAGTTGGGGAGTGTTACCAAGATGACAATTAGTTAACATCTTGACATTGATTATAGTAATAGTTATTTCTTCCTCTATGTTAATATTGGGGAGTGTTACTAAGATGACAATTAGTTAACATCTTAATATTAACTATAGTAGGATTCATATTCTTTAATATTCTTCCTTGAGTATTAATTAAATCATATTCATATTTCATGTTAATATTTTGAACATTACTTAAAGTATCAACTAGTTTTGTTTCATATATTAACTATTACTGGAATCAATCGATTAATACGCTTGTTATTAATTCAGTTCCTTCAAAGGTAGTAAACAGGGATTGTTAATGCATGCATCTCATGGTTAATAAACCAAGGGGAATTAATTATATTGATTAACCAATAAACCGCTTGTGTTGAGGTTATCAATCTCAATCGTTTTCATCTTAAGCTTATTGCTACTATCGAATTAATATACGGCGCTTGTTCTATATTGACTCGATAGTAAGTTTTATTAATGAACACATCTCGTTATTAATAACTACCCTCGATGAACTGGATATACTTCTCGATTGAGTATTCGAGAGGAAGATAGTTAAAGATATAACCGGGATCGATGAACATTTCATTAAGTGAATAAAAGAAAAACCAAGTCCTCGTCTCTATTAATTAAAACCACATAAGTCATTCATCTTAGTGTTAATTAAATTAAATCAAATCAAACTCAAAACCCCCCTTTGTTACTCATTATATAAAAGAAAAGTATTCCTTTCCCTGTGGATACGAACCTTACTTCGTTATACTACATATAATCGTTGTATTGTATTTATTTTGAGTGCACCTCACGACAAGTGCACGTCAGGATTCTATCCTAGAAAATCGCACATGGAAATTGGTTGATCTTCCTTCGAGAAATAAACCTTTGGGATCCAAGTGGATTTTTAAACGGAAAATGAAACCTGACGGTTCCATCGATAAGTACAAGGTCAGACTTGTAATCAAGGGATACAAACAACGTGAGGGCCATGATTACTTTGACACGTATTCTCTTGTGACGAGAATAAATTCCATTAGGATGATACTAGCAATTGCCACATTACGAAAATTGGAAGTTCATCAAATGGATGCAAAAACTGCTTTTCTAAATGGCGATATAGAAGAAGAAATCTATATGGAACAGCCCGAGGGTTTACGTGTTCCAGGACAAGAAAGGAAAGTGTGTAAATTAATTAAATCATTGTATGGATTAAAACAAGCTCCTAAACAGTGGCACGAAAAGTTCGATCATGCAATGTTAATTAATGGGTTTAAAATAAACGAAAGTGACAAATGAGTCTATGTGAAGAGCACAGTAGACAGCTATGTCATTTTATGTTTATACGTGGATGATATACTCATCGTGGGTAGCAATAATCTAATGATTAATTCTACCAAAAGCATGTTAAATTCTAAATTTGACATGAAGGATATGGGGCTGGCCGATTTAATCCTTGGGATTAAAATAATTAGAGGACCTGACGGTCTTACGCTAAGCCAATCCCATTACATTGATAAAATCCTTACGAAATTTAATAAGCATGATTATCAAGAGGCAAGGACTCCATTAGATAAAAACGCTCATCTTACCAAAAATCGTGGAGAGTGTATTTCTCAAGTAGAATACGCTAGGATTATTGGAAGCTTGATGTATCTAATGAGCTGTAACAGGCCTGATATTGCCTTTGTTGTTAGCAAGCTAAGTAGATATACTAGTAACCCCGGTGATGAACACTGGAAGGCAATAGTAAGATTTTTGAGGTATTTACGTAAAACCCAAAATCTTGGACTGCACTATGGAAGATATCCAGCTGTACTTGAAGGGTATAGCGACGCTAATTGGATATCCGACATAAAGGACTCTAAGTCCACAAGTGGATATGTTTTCACTTTGGGAGGTGCAGTCGTGTCATGGAAATCCTCAAAACAAACGTTAATAGCTAGATCCACGATGGAGTCTGAGCTAATAGCCTTGGATAAGTGCATTGAAGAGGCTGAATGGCTACGTCATTTTCTCGAGGATATTCCAAGTTGGGAAAAGCTTGTACCGCCAATATGCATACATTGCGATTGTCAAGCGGAAATTGGAAGGGTACAGAGCAATATGTACAATGGTAAGTCTAGACATGTTCGTCGTAGACATAACACCATTAAACAACTCCTCACAATGGGTGTTATCACTGTTGACTACGTGAAGTCAAAGGATAACATGGCGGGTCCGCTAACCAATGCATTGGATAGAGAATTGTTGGAGAAGTTGTCACGAGGAATGGGACTAAATCCCGTGAATCGAAAAGTTCTATAGTGGATACCCAACCTAGTTGGTCCTAGGTTCAAAAAGGACAACTAAATTATAGAGCGAAGGATGGTCACTTTGGGGGTCCCGGACTCCTACCCACTACTCGTTAAAACAGTGACTCTCGCACGAGGTTAGCAAAAACGTTTGCTTTAATGATTCTAAAATGTTGATCTAATCGATAACATTGGAAGAGTATGCGGGATACTCGTGAAAGAATCACCTATGTGAGAGAGAAGAGGGTCGCTTCAAAGGAGAACTGTAAAGGCTCAGTTCTTTAGAAACTCTTGCAGAACCAGGACGGTGACTCATGGCCAAAATGGGCACACCCATGAGAACGGAACAAAGTTGGAAGGTTCTTGTGTAAAGATAAGTCAATGTTTACACGACGGCAGTATAGTTCAAGGACATCGAGTCTACTAGACAACTAGTAAATAAACATCTCTTTACCGCGGAAGGTTCAAAGGATAAAACATACCTCTCCGTATGCAGGGATCATCCGGTGAACACAACGTGTCCTCCTATCTTCGTGTCTTTTTTAAGTCTCGAAAATCAATTTTCATTCATGTGGGGGATTGTTGGAAAATGTGTTAAGAAATTGCATTAAATGGTCATTCTGGGGAAATATTTTGAGTGGGGCCCACTTCCGATTTGGGTCGGGTCAAAGTGGTTTCGGATTTTCCTTGTTAAGGGCTACAATTCGATATGTGGTACACTCAAAACGGATAACGGGTGAATGAGAAATTGATTCTCAAAGTTCTGCCCGTTCGAGCCGCCTGCTGCCAGGCAGCCACCTGCTGAGGCGCCTGCTGCAAGGCAGCCACCTGCTGAGGTGCCTGCTACAAGGCAGCCACCTGCTCGCGTGCTGCCCTCAGCCATCTGCTGAGCCGCCTGCTCCCTAGCAGTCTGTTGCTTCCGTTACGAAGATTAATGCCCAATGTCTCTTGCAATTAAATGGACAGTTACGGACGATTCAATGCCAACGTTTTGGACATTGATGTCCAACGGTAATGTCCATTAAAACGTCATTAACACACAACAAATCTTCCTCTATAAATTGGCTAGCAGGTGGTTTGCAACAACACACACAAACGATCACCTCACACTCTTTAGCTCTCAAAAACACCTCTAACTTTCTTGAAAAATTCCTTTGAGTTCATACTTGTTCTCGTTCGCCGGAACAATTTGTTTGAGTGCTCAAACTATTGTTCGTAGTCATCGTATCCTGAGAAACGATTGTTGCAACTCTCCTAGCACCCCGGGAGGCAACAAATACGTTTTAAGGACATCGTGCGTTGCACGAGCTTTGGCTAATTCTGCTCCATCTACTTTCTGTTTTTCTTTAGTCATTTTTCGGAACACACCCAACAAATAGGAGTAAAAAAGTTTTGAAATTCAAAAATAGAACTATTATGTTTTTTATTTCCTAAATAAGAGTAAATTTCTGTCAAATTTGGCATTATTGGGCTTTAAACATCTTATTTTTTCCCAAACTTCACAAAATTATTCCTATTTAGGGAATAAGAACATGAAAGTCCTAGTTTGGATTTTTAAAAAGTTTTTACTCCTAATTTAGGCAATTTCTAATAAAAGATTTACTATTTTAGTCATATCTTGATAAATAGATCATCTTTCAATTATCTCGTAAGAGTTTTCTTCTAGTCTGTTTTCAGACTAGTCAGAAAAAACCAGATCAGACCAGAACATGTGAGACTAAAACAAGCCAAACTAAACCAGATCAGACGAGACTAGAATAAACCAGACTATATTAGAACAGACCAAATCAACCAGACAAGCAAATTTCAGTACAACAAACAAACAAACAAACAAACAAACAAACAAACAAACAAACAAACAAACAACACCCAAGCCTTAATCCCAAAAGAAAATTTAGGGTCGGCTAACATGAATCGGTCTATGATATCGATGCCAAAAAGAGAAGATGGACAAGAAAGAGAAAAAAAAAGTAAGATAAAATGAATAAAATAAAGATAAATAAATATAAGATAACAATAACACTCGAATATAAGAAAGATAAAAGATCGAAAATAAAAGAGCATATAAAAGCTAGAGGATAAAAATAACATAAGAATATAAAAAGATAAGAAAGATAAACGATAAAAGAAAAAAGAGAGGAAAGATTAGAATATAATTAAAAATTAGAATATAATTAAAAATTAACATTCTAATTAAGCAAATAAAATAAAACTATTTGATCAATAAAAGTGAAATTTGCGAATTAATTTGGACTGAAGGTAGTAGATCCAAATGAATTAAATCAAACTGACCTGAGGCAAGGGGCGGTAAGGGCGGTGGTGAAGGAGGGTTCTTAATCAGCGTGTAATCAAAGAAGGGGCTAATCTCATACCGGAGAAAGCAACTCGGACTTAAAAATCTCGCCCCAATCTTGCCGTTCCCTGGCGATCCCGACCAGTCACTGAAAGCAGTGGTCAAACAATCATTACAGTTCCGTGCGGACAAATCAGGGGTGCACTGGGCGTACGCATAAATGGTCTGCAGGTTCGGCGGCGTCGTATTGTCCGCCGCAAACTTGACGAACGGACCGCCATTAGCGGCGTTTCTCGTCAATCCGTCCACCAAACTTTTCAAGTATTGATTGAACCGAGTAGGATTAATCATCAAGGAAACAAAGATGTTACTGTATTGTACGATATTCGGGGTGGTCCTCACGGAGCCTATGGTGGAGTCATCACCAGAATAATATATGCTGCAAACGTTGTACCAACGGAAGGCCTCCTCCTGAACAGGACATAACGCCGTCATCCTTTGCGCTCCGTCCGTAACACAGTTACGACACGTTTCTATGTCTATGTCCCCTCTACAGAGGACGACGGCGTTCGCCTTGTCCGGGTCCTGCCCGACTGACCCGTTGTAGAACCCGTATTCGTTCAACCCGTTCGAGAGGGAGGAAAGGAGTCTGTTAAGGTTGTTTTGATATGTGCTGTTTTGGGTGTAATTTTTCCCGCTATTTCCGCAGACATGGTATTCATAGTTAACATCTATGTTATCATCGGCCGCGGTGGCGCCTATGATGGTGGCGCAGAAGAGGTGGGTACATAGGATCAAGAAAAGTATCCATTTCTGAGATTCCATTACATTAAGAGTACCTCCCACCACTGGATTTTTTTGGCAGAAAGAGATTAAATTAAGACGTGTGGAAAAAGAGAGAGAAACGAAAGCAAAAATGAAAATGAGTGTGGAAGTTTCAATCTGTACGAGAATGCGAATTTTCTTCTTTGAAATGGAACTTGCTTAGCTTGTTAGAAAGGTAAGATGAACTGGACGTAGCCTGATTTGACTTTTAATAGCCATTTATTGTCGTAAACATTTATTGCTGAAACACATAGGTGGGTTGACCTCGAGTGATGACTTGTTCTTGTTCTTCTTGATGTACGGGTCTCTTTGAAAAAGTGAAAAAAAAAAGTTTTGGCTCAAAAATGCTAAAATTATTGTTTTGAAGTGACGATATATATTTTAAAAAACGCTTCTTGGCTTTTGATTGAAAATTGCTTTTTACTTATGAGAACATATTAACACTATCAACTTTTACTTTTCAAAATGTACTTTTTCTGAAACACTATCAACTTTTGTTATTAATCACTTTTTCCAAAATCATTTAAAAAAGTGCTTTTTTGAAAAGCAAAAACATTTGCAAACATCCCCTTATTGTAATACATTAACAAGCTAATATCAATATCACCTCAACACCTAATTCCGCTGAAATTTATGAAATTATGGTTGAAGTCGTATATTTGATTGATTCTGCTAATTTTTAAAAAAATTACATTCAAAATATATTTAATTAATAAAATAAATTATAAAATATATGTAAAAATAACCAAAATAGTCATATACAGTAATTTCAACCAATAGAGGGAAAAAAGTAACTCAAACGTTACCTTTTTTTATTATTGCACAAATCAGCGTGCGAAATCAAAAGTTACGTGTTTGATAAAAATTTGATTAACAAAACTGATAAACCCAAAAGCACAAAGTTAGTATAAACAGTTTATGCGGCTAGCTAGTTATTGAATTGAAGTTGCTAAATTCTAGGTTAACTTAGTTCATGCTTATTAAATTGTCGGTGATATATAAAACCCATGCTTAACCTTTATTAATTATGGTTGTTGCAGTGAAGAAAGATGTAGGAGCCCCACTACACCGTACCCTAGCTCAATAGAGTTGGAAGACTTGAACCATGGTCAATTAGTTGATCCAGTCACCCAGAGGCCAAATAATTAAGCTGTTCCTAAAATTATAAGGAACTAGATTTAATTAAGATGTCCATCGAGTGCCCCGTGCCCGCATGCCCATTTTAAGAAGTTTTCAATACATTAATTAAAACAATCATTAACAACTAAAATCTAAATATTATTCGTATGACAAACAAACTATATATGAGTATATGACCTCTATGCTTGGCTAAAACAAAGAAACCAATTAAGTTAATGTGCTATGTAGTACTTCGTCGCATAATTATAGACTTTATATGCGATCAAAAAAGGCTGATGTACTATATTAGACATTGTCGATCTTCTAACAAAACTATAGTGTACTTATATTGTTAGAATGTGTTGGGATTGGAAAATTCTTCTATTCAATATCAAGAACAGAATTACAATAGGAGGAACAAACTCTCACACTTAACTATTATAAAAAATCAATCCTCACTAATACACTTCTACACTAAGTGTATTTCACTCTTCACACACTTTTCTCACTTTCTAAACTGATGATATGAACAACAAAAGAACACTCTATTTATAGGGCTGGTTTGGAGACAAGAGGTAGTGCTTCCATCTTCTCCATATCTTCTTCCCATTTTTATTTGTTGGAGAGCTCCTTCCAAGAAGGTGTGAGATGCCTCTTGGCAACTTCCAAGAAAGAGCGTGGAAATTCCCTACAGAATGTTAGATATAAAATGACTTACTCTTATGTTGTGGGTGAAGAGATTATTATGTTAGGTGTAAAATGACTTACTCTTATGTTATGGGTATAAGGATATAAATATTAAAGGATCATTTCAAGCCGGGTTTGTGAAATTTCCCATTGATATTTCGATTGTACTATCGGTATTTACCTTCATTCTTGTGTCATTTTAATTCGTTTGAATAAAAAGGTAGATTTGCCCATACGTTGCATACATTGCATTTTATTGCACACAGGAACACACGAACACACCGACAGCACTAATGACGTGGTGTGCCTCAAAATAAATTCACTACTAAAGGCTAATAACGTAGTATAGCGTAGTTGAGTTCGTATCCACAACGAAAGGAATATTTTTCTTTTTTAAAGAACTAGTAACAAAAGGAGGGTTTTAAAATGAGTTAATGACTCAAATAGGACTAATAGAAAAGTTAATTGCACATTTAGGACCACAAACGAAATACAACTTTCATAGGACCAATTTCAGTACAGTTGGACAAAAATACTCCTCTTTTAATTTTTTAAATTTTAAAACTGTAAAATAAAAAATTATTGAAACCCTAGAAGTAGCACTGCCGCGACCAGAGCCAAATCACCAGCCGCCACCCCTCGCCGACGCAACCTGCCGCCACCCTCTTCGATGACAGCGCCCCCTGTCGCTGCCCTCGCCGTCTACCATCTGCCACCGCATCCTTGTCGATGCACCGTCGCCATCCATCGCCGCCCCTTGCCGCTTCCCACACTAGCGTCGCCATCTATGCCATCACTATCTAACCGGCGTCACCATCCACCCAAGCCACCATCCTCTGAGCACCGTCACAACAGTGACAACTCAGACGGAATAATCTGCCATTAACTTGACAGATTTAGCATTGGGGATTAGATTCACTTCTGTCATGAACAAGTGCTTCAGATCTGCCAAAAAAGTTGGCAGATTCAACTTGGCATCAGTCACACAAAACTGCCATAAATTTGGCAAAAATAAAAAAAACATGAAGTAAATAACCAAATATTCAAACAACTAAAAATTTTAATGGAACAGACATTTTAACACAACCACAGATTAGAAAAACGAAGCTATTGATAAAAAAACAGAAAAACCAATCTATACCAAAGCATTTCTTCCTTAATATGATTGTAAATGTACACATTTTAGCCATAAACTTGGCCAAATCTGAAGCAATCATCCAAAAATATATGAAAATCGGTTCTTTTAAACTCTGAAACTAAAAACCAGAAAATCGAAATAAAAGTCTGAAAAACTGGAAAAATCAATTCAAAATTCAGAAAAAATGGAGGAAAATCGAGGAGGAGGAGGAGGAGGGGGAGGAGGAGGATGATGGAGGAGAACCTTAGTGGCAGCGGCGTACAAAGAAATTGGCAGCAACGGCGGCGTGAGAGAGAAATTGATCTTGTGTGCAGGAAGAAAATCGGTGGCGGCGGCGATGGCTAGGGTGAAGTCGGTCGATGATGCGCAATGAAGGAAGAGGGGAAGCAGTTGTGCGCAGAGAATGGGGGAGCGGTTGTGCGCAGTGGAGAAGTAAGATAGATGAGCGTAAAAGAGATTAGGGGGTAATAATGGAATACAAATACGGATGTTTTCGAATAGGACTAAAATAGTCCTATTTAGGGGGGAAATCATGCATGGTCCTATTTGAGAATTTTTTTCCTCTTTTAGTCCTATATGGGGCAATTACTTTTTTAAGATTGTTGTTGAAACTAAAGTATATTTAAACACTAAGATGAACCACATATATGATTTTAATTAATGAGATAAAAGGCTTGGTTTTGCTACTTGCCACTTGTTGATATGGTTGTTGATCCCGGTTATATCTACTTGCCAAGGAGTATCTGTGATTCATCGAACATAATTATTAACAATGACCGTTCATTGATAACCCTTACTATTAGCCAAGTATAGAACACCGACATATACCGGCTTGATAGTAGCTTTTAATCTCTTCTCCTTGATGAAATCATTTGAGATTGATAACCTCAATTCAACATAACGGTTTTGGTTTAACCAACACAATTAATCCCTCTTAAGATTATTAACCACGACCGTGCATTAATAACCCGAAGTTACTTGCTTGTGAAACCATCAATGATTAACCATCGGTTCATTGATCGTTTCTAGTAGTAATTAATGTCAAGATGTTGACTAATGGTCATCTTAGCAACACTCCCCAACATTAATATAGATATCAAATAAGGGAAGAATTAATATTCAAGGGAAAAGGTAAGAAAATAACTCACAACTTTAACATTCAACAACCTTCCAAGAGCAAAACCAAGAAATGAGAGTTTAGCTCCTCATTTGGAGACTAAACAATGCTATAGAAAAATATAAAGAAAACACTGTTCTAAGTTGAGCTTAAGTATACAGAAGAAGGGATGTGAGTTAGTGAAGAAAAAGTGTGATATTTATAGGTGGTTTTCAACACCTTTGACCGGGTACCCGACCGGGTATATAGCTCACCCGACCGGATACAGGTCATAATCAGATCATTCTCCATGTTCTTGTGTTTCAGCACGCCGGATTGTCCCCGGTCACTTCCCACTCGACCGGGTGACTTATTCCACCCGACCGGGTAATGCAATTTCCTTGCAGGTTCGGTTTTCTCTTCTTACCCGACCTGGTGGATTAGTCTACCCGGCCGGGTAAGTCCTCCTGGGCAGTATTCTTCGTGTGTTGTTTCTCTCTTCCAGCACCACAAGTCTACCACTACTTTACAACTTACAAATGAAAGCTAAAATACAATTACAACAAAAATCACACAAATGTTTACAAACTAAATAAAAGTCAAACAATCAACATAAATCAGATCAAACATAAATACATACAATTATGCACTACTAATTAGTGCACATCACACACCCCCAACAAATTATTCTTAAACTGATGAACTCTATATACGTATAGTATAAATTGTAGCAGATTAAATGGTAGAACCATAACATTCCAACATATTCTCACGAGTCACGACATGCATGCATATATGTAAGAGCTTCCTAGCTTGCACTTTATATGCTTTATTCAAAAGGGGTTAAGCCCGCTGATGAGCTCAAAAACAGGTCTGATAGCAATTGAAATTGCTAGTCGTGCAAAAGAAGAAGAAAATTGACATTATGTTACACATCCTGTAAATAATTTTGTCGTAATTATAAACAACATAAACACATTTTATCAAACATGAATTATAACTTTTCCCTAAAAAACAAATATATTTTGGCACAGAGTTTTTCATTAATTTATTTCACTAACTTTACGATTGAATTCTAAGCTTAAAGTTTATAAACTTAATCCACACTTCATGAATATCATGCTCACAAAATTTCATCAAAATTTTTTACCAAAAAGCACCTCAAATGAAGGTAGCCCGACGGTGGATCCCATGAAGGCGTTCTGACAAGATCAAGTAATTGTATTCGCTTACAAATCATGTTGCTTAAACATAATGTTGCCAATATTAAATATATCTCAATTAATTTGCATCATAAAATAGATAGCTTTTCCAGTATGTTTTTGTATGCAATGATACATGCTTGTGTAAAAGTAAAATATGTTAAAAATCATAATATTACTATAAGTTACTCCCCACAAATTAAAGTTTCTGTCAAAAACAATACGGAGTATTAAGTTAGCTAGTACAAAGTCTAATGAGCAAATATCTCAATGACTAGTACTCCCTCCGTCCCGTTGGAATGTTCCCGCTTTCTTTTTTTGGATGTCCCATCGGAAAGTTCTCATTTCCCTAAATGGAAAGTTATCTTACATCAAAACAGGGTCAAACAGTGCAAAACAGTGTCAAACAGTGTCGAAACAGTGCCAAACAGTGTCGAAACTGATAAATTATAATGTTATTCTTATCATTGTATTTATCTAAATACGTGTGGATATTATTTAGCTGAACAACCTATACCTATCCGGCTAATATACCGGATCACTAACTGCCTGCTCTTATCACTGCAGCTATGCCTGCATATGTAATAGTATATAAATCACAAACATCATATGAATAAATTTATCTTTGATTGTTTGCACCATATAACTCTTTATGGTATCAGAGCTGCAATTTAAATTGCACCGATCAAAAAGCTACTGCTCTCTCATATTTCCACATGGCAACACCCAATTCTTCCTCACCCACAGATTCTATTCCAGCTGATAGAAACCCCACCTCCCAATTGATTTCCCTTAATGCCTCTTCACAAATTCCCATCAAGCTATCAAATGACGGTAGCAATTACTCTTCTTGGAAATCACAGATAACTAATCTTCTCTTTGGATATGATCTTCAAGGATATGTTGATGGCTCTAACGCATGTCCTGAAGAATCTGCCCCGGGACATAATTTCTGGATTCGTCAAGATCGGCTAGTACTTTTGGCTATTCAATCAACTGTCTCTGGGTCGGTTAGTCCTATCATCAACAGCTGCACCACCTCTGCAGCGGCCTGGAAAAAATTAGAGTTAAGCTTCGCCAACGCATCTACTACCCGCATGCTCTCACTTCACAACAGTCTTGCTACTACTAAGAAAGCCGGAAAATCCGTCACTGAGTATATGGCAATCATGGAAGGTCTTGTTGATGATCTTGCCACCATTGGTCATCCCGTCTCTTCTGGCCAGATCATGTCGTATGTCCTCACCGGCTTCGGCAATGAATACAAAGAAACTATTTCTGCTCTACGCATACAACCTACTCCTCTCACTCTCTCGACTCTTAGACATCATCTTCAACAAGCCGAGATCCTTGCCGGTAATCAGATGGAGACTCCCGTTTCTGTCCAGTACTCCCAACGGCGTCCTCATAACACCTCTCGTGGCAGGGGTGGCCGCGGTCGAGGTCGTCACAATCCACACCAAACTGGCTTTGGAAACCCACATGGAAGTCACTCCCGGTCCTCAGTAATCTGCCAGCTATGTGACAAACCTGGCCATACCGCACGCACCTGCTTTAGCCGACCT